GTGATACACCACATAAACAAAATGAAAGATAAAAACCATATGATCATATCAATAGATGCTGAAGAGGCATTCGACAAAATCCAGCACCCAATTCTGATAAAAACGCTCAGCAATATGGGAATAGAGGGATCATATCTCGACATAATAAAGGCCATATATGAAAGACCTACAGCCAACATCATACTCAATGGGCAAAAACTAAAAGCATTTCCCTTAAGAACAGGAACAAGACAAGGATGCCCACTTTCGCCACTCTTATTTAACATAGTACTGGAAGTCTTAGCCACAGCAATTAGACGTGAAGAAAAAATTAAAAAGGGATCAAAATTGGAAAGGAGGAAATGAAACTATCATTATTCGCAGATGACATGTTACTATACATAGAAAACCCCAAAGACTCCATCAAAAATTTACTAGACTTAACAAATGAATTTGGCAAAGTAGCAGGATACAAAATTAACGTCAAGAAATCGATGGCATTCTTATACACCAATGCTGAACTTACAGAAAGATAAACTAAAAAAAATCCCATTTACCATCGCAGCAAAAAAATTAAGATACCTAGGAATAAACTTAACCAAAAAAATAAAGGACCTATTCACAGAAAACTACAGGTCATTGAAAAAAGAAATAGGGAAGATACAAAAAAGTGGAAGCACATACCTTGTTCATGGATTGGAAGAATCAACATCATTGAAATGTCCATATTACGCCCTGGCCAGTTTGGCTCAGCGGTTAGAGCGTCGGCCTGCGGTCCGGAGAGACCTGGGTTCGGCTCCCGCTAAGGGCACGTACTTCGGTTGCAATTTGTCCCCGGCCCTGGTTGGTTGTGCGGGTGGCAGCCACTCGATGTGTCCCTTCACGTCGATGTTTCTCTCTCTCTCCCTTCCTCTCTCTCCCTCCCACTCTATCTGTACAAAAAAATGGAAAAATATCCTCGGGTGAGGATAAAAAAAACAAAAAAAAAAAGAAATGTCCATATTACCCAAAGCAATCTATAGATTCAACACAATCCCCATCAAAATACCAATGACATACTTCACAGAACTAGAACAAATACTTCAAAAGTGCATATGGAACCAAAAAAGACCTCGAATAGCCACAGCAATCTTGAAAAAGAAAAACAAAGTTGGAAGGATCACACTACCAGATGTCAGGTTATACTACAAAGCCACTGTAATCAAAACAGCCTGGTACTGGCACAAGAACAGGCACATAGACCAGTGGAACAAAACAGAGAACCCAAAAATGGACCGAAGGCAATATGCTCAATTAATATTTGACAAAGTGGCAAGAGCATACAGTGGAGTAAAGACAGCCTCTTTAATAAATGGTGTTGGGAAAATTGGACAGCGACATGCAAAAAAATGAAACTAGACCATCAACTTACACCATACACAAGAATAAACTCAAAATGGATAAAAGACTTAAATGTGACTCATGAATCCATAAAAACTCTAGAAGAAACTGTAGGCAAGAAAATTTCAGACATCATACGCAGAATTTTCACTGATAATTCACAGAAACAAAGGAGAAAATGAACACATGGGACTACATCAAATTCAAAAGCTTCTGCGCAGCAAAAGATATAATCTTCAAAATGGAAAGACTACCCACTGTATGGGAGAGCATCACTGCCAATGATATATCAGATAAGGGGTTAATTTCTAGTATATATAGAGTACTATACAACTCAACAAAAGGAAGACAAAGAACCCAATTAAAAATGGGCAGAGGAACTAAATAGACACCTCTCCAAACAGGACATACAAATTACTAAGAGACATATGAAGAAATGCTCAACATCACTAATCATCAGAGAGATGTAAATTAAAACAACAATGAGGTATCACCTCACACCCGTCAGAACGGCTGCCATCAACAAATCATCAAACAACAAGTGTTGGCGAGGGTGTGGAGAAAAGGGGACTCTAGTACACTGCTGGTAGGAATGCAGACTGGTGCAGCCACTACAGAAAACAATATGGTGTTATCTCAAAAAATTAAAAATTGAACTGCCATTTGACTCAGTTATCCCACTTCTAAGAATATAGCCTAAGAAGCCTGAAACACCAATCAGAAAGAATATATGTACCCCCATGTTTGTAGCAGCACTATTTACAATAGCTAAGATCTGGAAACAGCCCAAATGGCCATCATTAGACGAATGGATAAAAAAGCAGTGGTCCATATACACAATGGAGTACTATGCAGCTGTAAGAAATAAAGATCTCTTATCCTTTGAGATGACATGGAAGGACCTGGAAAGTATCATCCTAAGCTAAACAAGCCAAACAGAGAAAGACAAGTATCATGTGATCTCACTTATTTGTGGACTATAATGAACATAACAGTCTGAGGAATGGGGTAGTCCCAGAGACATGGAAGTGGGTACAGACTGACAATCCCTAGAGAGGGGGTAGTGGGGGAGAGGTAAACCACAGAACTTACATGCATATATGCATGAACAATGGACATGGACAGCAAAGCTGGGGACAGGGTGGGGAGGGAGGGGGAGGAGGGAATCAGTAGGGGGAAAAGGAGAAACATGTGTAACAAAAATAAATTGATTAAAAAAAAAAAAAACTGCACAAAATAAATAAATAAATAAAAATACAGCTCTGGCCATTTTTACTCAGCAGTTAGAGGGTCGGCCCTCAGACCAGAGAGTCCTGGGTTCAGTTCCCACTAAGGGCACGTATCTCTGTTGCAGTTTGGCTCTGGCCCCGGTTGGGGTTGTGCGGGTGGCGGCCAGTAGATGTGTCCCTCTCACTCTCCCCCTCTCCCTCCCACTCATGCAAAAATGTCCTCCGGTAAAGATTAAAAAATACAGATTCCTGGGTCCCACCTGGGGGCCTAAGAATCCAAGTTTAACCATTTTAAAATTTCCAATGTTTGAGAATTTTACTTTCTCATAAAACTAGAGGTAGTAGTTTCTCCTTTTCTCCCTCTCTCCCTCTGATATGAGGAGGATAGTTTATCTGTTTCAAATCATAGCACCAAAATAGATCTCTAAATATGTATTTTTTTTCTTTATTGGTTTTAGAGAGAGAAGAAGGGAGAGGGAGAGGGAAATAGAAACATCGATGAGAAAGAACATCGATTGGCCACCTCCTGCATGCCCCCCACAACCTGGGCATGTGCCCTGGCTGGGAATCGAACCAGCAACCTCTGCACTAGCATGAGTCGACACTCAACCACTGAACCATACTGACCAGGCCCTGCTGGGCTTTAAATTGAATATTTAATGTCTCTCATTACTCTATCATTTTGCTACTGGGTGCTGGACTTGCTTTCTGACTGAAACTCTGGTTTGCTCAATTTTAGAGGAGATGAATAATCAACTTAACCTGCATGTGCACCCATGTACACGAACCTGTGAGTGCACGCATGTCATGGATGTGTACTGCATGTGTGCGTGCATGTGTGTGCATGTGCGTGCATGTTGATGCTTGCATCCTGTCGGTACTGAGCAGCACAGATGATAAAAAACCCAGGGAGGAGCTGGTGACATCTGATCAAGTCACTAATGTCAGGACTTCTATTCTACTGTCTGTCTTTCAGAATTGGCCCGTTTTCTAGAGAAGTGACCGTGTCTCACAGAACTTGCTATTCCAGTGAAGCCATCAGATTATGACCTGTTGCTGGTTCAATGCACTCTCATGAAAGAATGGTGGCCGGCCCTGGCCGGTTTGGCTCAGCGGTTAGAGTGTTGGCCTGCGGTCCAGAGAGACCTGGGTTCAGTTCCCACTAAGAGCATGTTTATCCCCGGCCCTGTTTGGGTTGTGTGGGTGACAGCCTCTTGATGGTCCCTTTCACGTCGATGTTTCTCTCCCTCTCTCTCTATCTCTCTCTCCCTCCCACTCCATCTGAACAAAAGATGCAAAAATGTCCTTGGGTGAGGATAAAAAAAAACACAAAGAATGGTGGCCAGTATACTTCTCCTCCTGAATGCTTATGGGACTTCAATAAAACATCTGAAACTACAGGTTATAGAAACATGTACACACACCTCGTAAGTGCTAAATTCATAAACTCTCTAGTCTGCGGGTTCCTATACACCCTGTCAAAGTCTGTGTCAAATTTCTCAAGACCTCTCAATTGTCTTACAGCGCAGCTAAGTGGGTGCTAACATCTCTTTCTCTAAACACACGGAGAAGACGGCCACCCAGACCAGGGCTGAGCGGTCAGTGCAGAATCCCCCCGCCCTCTGAGCCCCAGACCCAGCCTGCCGGCCTTGCAGTTCTAGAATGCGTAACATAATTTTGGGCTTCTTTTGTGTTTTACTCTCATTTTTCTTGCAGGCTGTCATTTAACATTGTGTGTTAGCACAACTCCCACCTTTTCGGATGAGAGCTGTATTTGCGCCACTTCTAAATATTCTTATCGTGATTCAGAAACGGTCAAGTGGGAACTTGGATATGTTGCTGACGTGGGCTCCTAGTCCGCGGTCCCCACGTCTGTTCCCACAGGCAGGCGATCATCAGCTCAGGGCTCAGCGCAAACATCCAGGAAAGTCTATTGCTGATCACACCTTCTAAATATTTCTATCTTGGCACATTTTCACACTTCATGAAGCAGAAATCTACATGAACCCCCTCCCCCCAAAAGCACCATCAGCATGCACCACCTCACAGAGCCGCCCACGGAAGCCGGTGGGACAGCAGGGATGTCACAGGGGCCTCTGCCTTCACAGCCTGTGCACACGCCCCCGATGGTTCAGTGGGCGACAGCAGACGGATCCCAGTGCTCAAGGGTGATTTATGACAGCAAACGACAAGCTTTGGCAGTAGAGCAAGGAGATGAGAAACACGCCGCTATTGGAAATAAACACCAGGAAAGAGCAGAGCGCTGTGTGCTCTCCAGGGACACAGCCCCTGAGGCTGTCTGCTTCTGGAGTGGTCTGAACCGGTGCCGGGGCACAGCTGTCCGTGTGGAATCCCCACCTTCGGACACGCCACACACACAACGCGGGGACACTGGTACTCGCGCCAAACTACCTGATTTTGTTCAGGATGTCCACCCCCGACTGCTCCAGCAGCACGTTCTTCACAAAGGTCCGCGGGATGGACATCTTCTCGGCGCTGGCATGAATCAGGTCCTGCCGGATGTGGGCTTTCTTCATCACGTTGGGGCACAGACTCTCGGCCGCGTCCACCATGGACTCCAGCAGTGCCTGCAATGCAGCACAGTGAGGGGCCAGGGCGACAGGCAGGGGCACCATCCACGGGGACGGGGTCACAGGCTTTTTTCTTTACAAAGAAAAGTTTCTGTGCCAGGGACAACGGTCACTGTCATGACAACAAGAAGTACATGAACAGACAAGACATCGATGGGCTCTGTGTAAACCAGGTTAATGACGGCAATCCAAGCACACTCCCACACAGGCACATCAGGGTCTGAAACGTCTCCACACACAGTGTGCGTCCAACGGTGAGTGGGTGGGGCCCGCGAGGACCATTCCCAGCGAAGGAAATTTGCGACTGGCCTGAGACGGACCAGGTGGCAGGTGAGTGTGGGGAGGATGCCAGTGTTTGTGTCAGACCTAAGTTTGAACCCTCACCAAGTGACACTGGGGTAGCGACTCACCTCAGTTTACTTTCTTCACCTATAAAATGGCAAATAAAAAAGTTCTTGCCTCCTGGGATTTTTTTCTTTTTTTTAGAGACAGAGTAGGAGGGAGAGAGAGAAAGTGAGAGACACAGGTACTGACTACCTCCTGCACGACCCCAACCAGGGCTGGTGGGGACTGAACCTGCGACCCAGGTACATGCCCTCGACCGGAATCAAACCAGCGACCCTTCGGTCTGCAGGCCAATGCTCTAACCGCTGACCCACACCTGCCAGGGCCCTCCTGGGACTACTGTAGACAGCACATACGTGATGTGTTCAGCACAGCATCCAGCATACGACAAAGTGGGGTCGTCACAGATGACACTAAACCTAGCATTGCAGGGTCACTGTCACCTGCCTGTGGCAGCCGCTGGGACGGCCTGAAGTAACCCTAGGCACTCCCTAACGCCCTCCCGGCTCCTGGGTGGGGGCCTCTGCTCAGGAACACTAGACATTTCACCTGCAAACGTCAGCCCATGACCAGGATGGCCCGGTCCACAGAACTGCGGGACAACGGACCATCTGTGCTGTCCCCTGGCCACACGGGCCGCCGAGCACTGCAAATGTGGCCAGAGTAACTGAGAAGCTGAAATTTAGGTTTTAGTCCACGTTAATCAATTTATATTTAAATGAGCCCGTGTGGCTGGCTCATAAGGAACACTCTGGACAACTCGGGTCTAAGGCTGACCTTTCCCAGAACAAAACCAGGAGCAGCTGCGTCCACTCGCTCCTTCCCACGTCGGCCCCTCCTCGTGCTCCACGTGTGTTTCCTTTCTAACCTCAGAGCACAAACCGGGCATCGTCGTTGTTGTATTTTAATCAAATAAATTGAATCAGACCCTGAGCAGCCATCCTGGCGCCTTCAGGAAATACACGTCCACACCAGAGCTCTGGAATCTTCATCTGCTTTGGAAAACCCGAAGTGCAGGGAGGGAACCTGGGCCCTCGGGCCAGGCCAGGAGAACACGTGCTGAGGCCGTCCGCAGCCAGCAGCCACACCTCCTCCGCACCTGAGACTGGAGTCCTGAAGGACATCAAGACTTTCCAAGGCCAAGCGCTCTCAAAATTTAAGTCCAGAGGGGGAAAAATGAATCTTTGTTTTATGTTAAAATTTTCAAGTCTCACTTATTCATCTATCACTTAAATGTTTGTACCAAACAAAGGAAAAACTGGTGTGGGGGTCATTTTAAAATACCTAAACCAGCCCTGGCTGGTTTGCGTCAGCGGTTAGAGTGTCAGCCTGTGGACCAAGGAGTCTCGGGTTCAATACCTCCGTTGCGGTTCGTCCCTGGCCCTGGTGGGGGTCCTGCAGGAGGCAACCAGTCCATGTGTCTCTCTCACATCAATGTTTCTCTCTCTCCATCCCTCTCTCCCATTCTGTCTGAAGATAAATGGAAAAATATCCTCGTGTGAGGATTAAACAAAATGTTTAAAACACCTAAACCTGGCCAGTCCAGAGAACACAGCATCTTCTCGAAGAAGGAACGTCTCCAGACTACTTTCTCCTCCAGGGAGTTTGCTGAGAAGGCGGTTCATCGGCCATTTCTTTTGCTTTTCTGAAGAAATATTTTTTCAAAGATGGTCCAAAGAACTGCTTGAAATTATTCTCATCCAATATTCAAAATATCTACCGCAGATCATCATGCAGGGTGATCCCGTGTGAAAGCTGGGGGAACCCAGATTCTCGAGGGACCACGACCACCAGCACAAGGGGGCGCAAGGAGACCCGGCCGTCCCCCCAAGCCAGGGAGCTAACAGCTAGCAGCAAACCCAGGACACATATCCAGGCCTGTGGGTCCCTTTTAAAAAAAAAAATCACTATAATAAAATTTACATTTATAAACTAATCCATCACTTTAGCTTTTGCTGGTATAGCAGGGACTTTTTTCAGCCAGGGAACCTACAGCCAAGTCTCTGCCACAGTGGGTACCCCGTGACTGCCTGAGCCCCCCGGTCGGTCTCTCAGGGCTCCTCCCCGGTACTCGGAGCTTCGCCTGTCAGCCTGCCGCCCCCATCACAGGAAACCACAGAAGACATGTTTTCCAAAAGCAGACTCTGTTCCCTGCCACACACCAGACGTTGATCACTCTCTTTTCAGGGACAACCCGTCACAGGCCAAGTTCATTTAGAGATTTACCATCAAAAACGAAATGGAACTTGATAGGTTTTCTTGATGTCATCATATGAGAAGTCATTCCAAAATGTATCCAAGGCTGGAAAAGGCACAGCCGTCATTTCTACCCCTGTGTACATGTGTGGCCAGGGGACCACGCACAAACCTGTAAAATCACAGGGGGCTATGTCGTGACAATGCATTTTCCAAAGTAACAGGACACACAAACCTTTAGCTGTTCATCCACAACTCTGGTGACCTCCCCGGCCATCGACTCCAGCGTGTCCTGAATCGGGCTGGACAAGCCACTGGCTCCCGCCCAAGACGCACTGCCAACGTGGTATAAATTCGGTAACAACTGTAAGAAAAATAAAAGAACCTGTCCATAGTTAAATAACATTTACATAAACACTAAAGTCCTTGCAGAGTTACTAAAAAGGGGACAGAAATATCAGGAGTGGTAATGTTTGATCCAAGGCCCTGTGCACAGATTAGTAAACTGAGGTCCAGTTTGAAAACCACAGGGACAGTACAGTCCCTGATGCACTCATGTGGGGCATAAGCAGACCTGAGCCCCAGGGCTCCCCCATGCAGAACAGCCACTGTGCATGTGACACCAACAGCAGAGCCAGGACCAGGTCACACTCTGGGGACCAAATTCTCCCTGGAGAGAGGCCTCCTGGGGAGCAGGCAGAGGGGCGCCTGGCCTGGGCCAGCAAGCGGAAGAAAGTTACGTGAATTGTGACTCATCTAGACTACAACTGCCTGTCCACCATTCAGGATCCAATGGCTTCCTCTGTCCGTCACATTGGCCTCTGCACCCCCACGGGTCCAGAGAGGAGGCAGAGATAAATTCCGTGACCTCCGGCACTTGTCAGCGACCTTGGAATTGAGCAGGAAGGAAGGCTGGAGCTGGCTTCCATCAGGCGCCACGTGGCCCGGCTGGAACTCACCGTCTTGGAGTTCTTGGCGTCCCGCATGAGCCGCTCCGCCGACTTCAAATCTTCCTGGACAGCGTCTCCCCCGCAGTTCCGCAAGGAGTTGAGGTGATCCTGGACCTTCACGCAGATCCTGTCAATCATCTGCCCACACGTGGGAATAACAGCCAGCATCCCGGCGACATGGCCGGCATTCAGACAGAAAGAAACAGAACAAGTGAGGGGAGGACTTCCCACGGAAACCTTCGAGAAGGCAGCTCGGGGCCCATTATTAACTCATCCACTCATATGAGAAACCCTTGGCAACATTAATGGCAGGGAAGGGGTTCTGGTCCCCTTTCCTGCCTAGGAGAAGGCAGCGTGGAGAACCCAAGTGAGTACTTCGCGATGGCTCAGAGTCTCATAGCGACTCAACATTCTGCGAGATAGGAACCCCCTTCGTTAACTCCTCATGAGTTCCCGCTGAGTGCCAGGCACGGTCTGGGTACCAAGGAGACAAGAGGCACAAAATGTGCCGCCCCGACAATTACAGAGGATGCCCACAGCCAGCTGGTCTCGTACCTTGGAAATCAGATTATCCCTGGAATCAATATCTTTTACATTAATTCAATGATACCAGGTAGTTTTCTATAAAACTTAAGAGCCACCCAAGAAAAAGCCAGCTGAGGTTTTATCATATTGACTTAGGCAACACCGAAGTTAATAACGTCTAGTTTCTATTCCTCAGAGGCCCCTCTCCCAGGTTAATCACATCGGAATCATTTCCACTGTTGCAGGGATGGAACTTCACACCCAACGGCATGTGGTGGGTCACTACTGTAGACAGGAATTGCATGAGGGCAAGATGCTGCTTCTTGTGTTTGTATTTCTATTATGTCTGACGTAAAGATAACCACAGTTTAAAAAGCTCCAATGTTTTGTTTTGTTTTTCAAATGGTTTTAAGATGTTTTTTTCTTTATTGATTTGAGAGAGAGAGGAAGGGAGAGGGAGAGACAGAAACATCGATGAGAGAGAACATGATTGGCTGCCCCCCACTGGGGACTGGGCCCACAACCTGGGCATGTGCCCTGACCAGGAGTCGAACTGGCGACCTCTTGGTGCCTGGGTTGACGCTCAACCACTGAGCCACACCAGCTGGGTAAAAGCTCCAATGTTTTGATCAGACGGCAGGTTGTCTATTTCCTGTCCGTAAAAAATTATTAACTCTCCAGACACCTCACATGTGAAGAGTCCCACCCCATTGGCTCCTTCATCAGGCAGGGGAGACACTGGTTTATTTAAATTCACACTTCTCTGTTTTGAGTTATTTGATGTTACAACTAAAGAAAGCCAGAGTCGCCCCTTTCCCCATAAGTTCTGAAACGACAGAACACTTAGGGTCTGGCCACAGAGCCGGCTGCTGGCTGCAGACCCCGTCCCCATCTTCCTTACAAAGTCAGGTTCATGCACACCTTCCCACCCTCTCCTGTGTGTTATGCACACCACTCAAAGCACCTGTTCTCTTAAAGGGCCAGCCCTGCTAAAGTTCATGTATATTAAGAACAGCTCCTATTACAATAAAATGTACTGAGGCCACAGAAGTGACTTTCCGGAGTTCCCCACAGGACACAAGTCGTAAGAATCGTGTTTCTCCCCCCACAATCTCCCTCTGACTAAATCGAAGCACCAGAGAACTATGTCTTTTTTTAAATCTTCTTAATTGATGTACATTCTAATGCTTCTAACCACTGTCTTGATCTGTGCTTCCTAAAGGAAAAGCGGCCATCCGTAGTCCATGTCTCACCAAGCACAAGGGACACCTGGTTTCAGGAGCCACACATGCTAAGAAAGGAACCAGTACGCAGCTCAGAACGCAAAAGGCTGGTCCGTGAGGCGTGTGGATGTAGCACCACAGTTATCACCTTCAGCCACAAGAGACCGAGGACACCCCTGCAATGTGTGCCCTAAAACACCGAGAGAGGGTGTTTATTTATTTTTTTTCTTTATTGATTTTAGAGAGAGAGGAAGGGAGAAGGAGAGACAGAGAAACATCGATGAGAGAGAACATCGACTGGCCGCCTCCTGCACGCCCCCCACTGGGGATCAGACCCACAACCTGGGCATGTGCCCTGACTGGGAATCGAACCAGTGACCTCTTGGTACAGGTTGGACGCTCAACCACTGAGTGACACCGGCCAGACAGAAGAGGGGCTTGAAATGAATGCAAGAAGATGATCTTCAAGTGAAAGTTTTTTAAGTCCCACCCAAAAGAAACAAACATTTTGTTATTCATTTCAAGTAAGACAATGTCTCACAAGTCTGAGTCTTCTGGACATGAGCTCGCGAAGGGTCAGCACAGCCAGCAGCTCGCACTCGGACACTTCACAACCCAAGAGCTCAAAGCCCAGAACCCACTTAAGAATGATGACACAGAAATGTTTGAAAAAAGGAAATTGAGAATTTTGCTCACAGTTAATAACTCAAGTCTCTAAGGTGGAACCCAAATGTGAAAAAATAAGATGACAATCTGAAAGACTGTCCTCTCCGGGTTATCCCATCAGAGGAGACAGGGTCAAGGACTGCACCCCAACCTTTGGTTTAACCTCATCCCATTTTTCTAAAGCAACCTAGAAAAGATGTTGATGCCATTGTTTGAGAAGAAACCATACTCTCATTGCTGGCCACGGTCTTCTTTACTAAGCCCTAACCTGCCTTCCCACTCTGTTCCTGCAGAACCACTCCCCCCGAGGACCCTGAAGACCCCAAGCTCCAGACCACATATCAGTCTTGCTCAGTCAGGCCACAGCTGAATCTTCTTCCCTAATCTTCTTTCTTTCAGGATTCACATTCCTGCAGGGACAGTCCTGGGACCCCGCACCTTCCCCCTCAGGTCATGTCTCTGAACTCTCCCGTCGAGGACCCTAGGAGCCGAGCCCCAGGAAGGCGGGCTGTCACACAGGGAGCAGACGGGGAGTGGGAGGGGCCAGCCCTCCGCAACGACAGGAAGCACGCTTCCCTTCATGTAGCACACCACACATCAGCTCTCCCGCAACTAAGTCACAGCCCCAGCTCGCGTCACGTGACGACTCGGCTCTTTCAAACGTCCTGGGCTGTGGAACCCAAGAGCAGGATTTCAAATTGTCAGCGATGAAGCTGTCTCGGGCTGTTCTCAGCTCATTACATGGTGTCTGGTTCCAGGAAACAGCCGATTCATGGAAAATTATCTTCCTCCTTGTTTACTTCTTTATTCAACTCAAGAGAAATAAACACCTGGCACTGAATGAGACAGTCCGGAACAAAAAATATCCCCTGGCCACCAAGCAACTTACAAACCTAGATGTAGAAAGAAACATTCTTTTTTTTTTATCCTCACCCGAGGACATTTTTCCATTTTTTGTTCAGATAGAGTGGGAGGGAGAGAGAGGAAGAGAGAGAGAGAAACATTGACGTGAAACGGACACATCAAGTGGCTGCCACCCGCATGACCAACCAGGGCCGGGAACAAACTGCAACCGAGGTACATGCCCTTAGTGGGAACCAAACCCGGGTCTCTCTGGACCACAGGCCGACGCTGTAACCGCTGAGCCAAACCGGCCAGGGTGAAAGAAACATTCTAAATCAATAGGAACATAAGCCCTCAGAACACCAGCCCTCAGACCAAAAGGTTGAAGGTTCGATTCCAGTCAAGGGCACGTACCTGGTTGCAGCTTTGATTCCTGGTCTCAGTCGGGGTCGTGCAGGAGGCAACCAATGGATGTGTCTCTCTCATATTGATGTTTCTCTCCCTCTCTCCCTCTCTCACTCCCTCCCCCCCTCCCTTCCTTCCACTCTCTCTAAAGGTCAATGGAAAAATATCCTCAGGTAAGGATTAACAAAACAAAAAAATTAAAGTGCTATATAATTTAATAGCTACAAGGACTGTACCCTACAGTACTGTCTGCCATATAACAGACCCTATGGGTGCTGAGTAGACAGATCTAAGAAATATAATTATCCTTTTTTTTAAGAGTGAGAAGGCTTAAGAGCCGAGATCGGCAAACTGCGGGCCACCCTGGGCCTGTTTTTCTAAATGCAGTTTCACGGGGACAGGCAGATTCACACAGATGCGCATTGGCTGCTCCCACCACAACAGCAACGCTGAGGAATTGCCATGGAAACCACAGGGCTGCACCGCCTGAAATACTTCCTATTTGGCTTTTCTTTTTTTTTATTTTATCTTCAGATAGAGTGGGGGAGGGAGAGAAAGAGCGAGAGACATCGATGTGAGAGAGACACACTGAGTGGCTGCCACCCACACAACCCCAACCGGGGCCGGGGACAAACTGCAACGGAGGTACGTGCCTTTAGCGGGAACCGAACTCGGGACTCTCCAGTCCACGGGCCGACGCTCTAACTGCTGAGCCAAACTGGCCAGGGCTTCCTAGTTGGCTTTTTGAAGAATAAGTTTGCTAACTCCTCCTTCGGAGGGTCTGAGATGGAATAGGAGACGGCAGACCTTCCGGTGCTCAGGACAAGGCTCCCGCAGAGCAGCTGCCCAGCCAGGGCCTTGTCTGCCTTTTTGATGCACGTTACAGATGCCCTCCTCTGCCTCTCTTCCAGAGAAACAGCTTCACCTGTGCCCATCAGTGCACCCGCTTCCCTGTCACGGTGTGCTCAGTGCCAAGCACTGTCCTGTGCTGTGACAGCTCCTTCGTACGCAGCCTGTTCTGACTGCACCAGTGCCCCGAGCTCAGCGCGGGCCTGTCTTCCTCGTGCTGACACAGGCTCCGCGTGCTCCGCAAACACCCTGTGGTCCGCGGCTGATACTTTCAGAGGAGAACAGTCCACCCTCTCAGTTATTATAATCCCTTTCCTCCCTACAGTTGAACAGAGAAAAGCTCTTGAGTTTCTCTTCAGCACCTAAGTTTTAATTAATATCAACAAATTCCTCACTACTCAGAAGAACCTGGGAATGTATTTCGTGCTCAGGAGCAAGGCGTAGAGAGAAACAGAACATCTCCAAGCGGCCATCTGATTCCCCTCAGATTTCGTCACCTGCGATCACGAATTCCTAATATTTGTAGATAGAGCTGAAATACACCTGCCTGGCCATCTTTTTTTTTTTTTTTTTTTTTAATTTTATTTATTTTTGTTACAGATGTTTCTCCTTTTCCCCACACTGATTCCCTCCTCCCCCTACCTCTCCGCCCTGTCCCCAGCTTTGTTGTCCATGTCCATTGTTCATACATACAAGCATGTAAGTTCTGTGGTTTATCTCCCCCACCACCCCCTCTTCTGGGGATTGTCAGTCTGTACCCACTTCCATGTCTCTGGGACTACCCCATTTCTCAGACTGTTATGTTCATTATAGTCCACAAATAAGTGAGATCACATGATACTTGTCTTTCTCTGTTTGGCTTGTTTAGCTTAGGATGATACTTTCCAGGTCCTTCCATGTCATCTCAAAGGATAAGAGATCTTTATTTCTTACAGCTGCATAGTACTCCACTGTGTATATGGACCACTGCTTTTTTATCCATTAGTCTAATGATGGACATTTGGGCTGTTTCCAGATCTTAGCTATTGTAAATAGTGCTGCTACAAACATGGGGGTACATATATTCTTTCTGATTGGTGTTTCAGGCTTCTTAGGCTATATTCTTAGACGTGGGATCAGTGGGTCAAATGGCAGTTCAATTTTTAATTTTTTGAGATAACACCATATTGTTTTCTGTAGTGACTGCACCAGTCTGCATTCCCACCAGCAGTGTACTAGAGTCCCATTTTCTCCACACCCTCGCCAACATTTGTTGCTTGATGATTTGTTGATGGCAGCCATTCTGACAGGTGTGAGGTGATACCTCATTGTTACTGGCACAAGAACAGGCAATAGAGACCAGTGGAACAGAACAGAGAACCCAGAAATGGACCCAAAGCAATATGCTCAATTAATATTTGACAAAGGTGGCAAGAGCATACAGTGGAGTAAAGACAGCCTCTTTAGTAAATGGTGTTGGGAAAACTGGACAGCTACATGTAAAAAAATGAAACTACACCATCAACTTATACCATGCACAAGAATAAACTCAAAATGGATAAAAGACTTAAATGTGACTCATGAATCCATAAAAATCCTAGAAGAAACTGTAGGCAACAAAATTTCAGACATCATACCCAGCAGAATTTTCACTGATACATCACCTAAGGCGACAGAAGCAAAGGAGAAAATGAACACATGGGACTACATCAAACTCAAAAGCTTCTGCACAGCAAAAGATACAATCAACAAAATGAAAAGGCAACCCACTGTATGGGAGAACATCATTGCCAATGATGTATCAGATAAGGGGTTAATTTCCAAAATATATAGAGTGCTCATACAGCTCAACAAAAGGAAGACAAAGAACCCAATTAAAAAATGGGCAGAGGAACTAAATAGACACCTCTCTAAACAGAGCTAAGAGACATATGAAAAAATGCTCAACATCACTAATCATCAGAGAGATGCAAATTAAAACTGCCTGACCATCTTAAAAGGCACAAAAACCAATCATCAATTAAAAGTGTCTAATTACTGCCCTGGGCAGTTTGACTCAGCAGTTGGAGTGTCAGCCCATAGACCGAAGGGTCCCGGCGGGGCTCCCCCAGAGTGCGCTGGACTTGGCATGTGGGTGAGGCTCAGGCCTGCAAGGAGAACCAGCTGTGTCTCCTTTCCGGAGGAAAGAACAGAGGAAATGACTCTCAGTTCCCCGATTCCCGGTCAAGGGCACGAACCTGGGTTCTAGTTCCATCTTCAGGCCTAGTTGGGACCATGCGGGAGGCAACCAGTCAATGTGTCTCTCTCGCATCGATTTCCCTGTCTCTCCCACTTCCTTCCTTCCAAACTTAAATATATATCTCGAGTGAGGATTAACAACAAAAGAGTGTATTTAGGGTTAGAAGTGGCCTGCATTTCCCACCCTGTGCATTGCCCCCCAAACCCTACTTACATTTGTGTCCTTTTCAGAAACTAGTTCAGTCTCCCTGGGAGAGAGTCACAGGACAGAATTCCCGTGCGCCACTCTGAGCCAGGGTCCAGCAGCCCGTACCTGCTGAGTGGTGCTGGTGACGATGCCCTGCTGGAGGCGGTAGGCCTGCTCCTGGAGGTACTTCCTGGTCTCGTGGTTCCGGAGCAGGTAGTTTTCTATCTGGAAATAAAGCACGTGTCTCTCAAGAACACTGCGAGACTCGGCAGAGTCCAGCTGCACATGAAACCGCTGGCCGCCAAGCCTAAAGCCCAAGCCCTCATCGCGCACCCTTCCAGCACCCTGACCCCCAAGACTTATGAGAGGGCCCTGGCCACCTGGTGATGCCCTGCGGGTTTTCTTAGGGAGAGAAGTCACTTTCGGGTAACCAGCGTCATTTTTAGGTGGCTCAGGAGTTGACAGAGCTCAGTGGGCATTTGGTTGCCACAGGGCTAAAGACTCCATTAGTGACCGTCCCCGCCAGGCACACGGCCTCAACGCTGTCTCTCTTGGGAATTTTTAACCTCCGAGCAGTTTGAAATTAAAGGAACCCCCCCAAGGGGTATGGATGCCTTTCTGTGCAGCTCTGAGCCAGGGATGGAGAACATTCTTTAAGGGGTAAAAAGGAAGAGGTAGGTATAACACTGGAAGCATCCAGGCTGGTCCAACCCAAAGACTCACTAAATCCACCAAGTTTTCATACTTTCTCACAAACAGGACTGATTCAGCAAAACTAGTGAAAATTGTTTTAAAGAATGAGTTTCCATAGAAAATAAGAAATCTCGAAGTTGGTTGACAGTTTGCATTTTATACATAGACCATCTCCTGTAAAAAGTTCAAGTGCACAAATTGTAACTAGGTTGAAATAAGCATTGAAGGAGAACCATAAGCAATGGATACAGTTGAGCAAAGAATGGAGGGTTAACTTGGGAATGATGGAATGACGGATAGCCCGGAAGATGTACTTTAAAGAATAATTTGAGATGGGTAATTGCGCTCTGTTTTTTTCAGTTGTTATTTTTAATAACACCACTTAACCACTTGGCTTTTAATTTGTCCCTGTCGCTCCCTGTTTGGGAACATCTAATAACTGAAGCTTTCTGTGTTACTACATTTTCCTTGTCCCAAATGACTACTACTTAATACCCATTAGGACCAATGAAAATACTATCATTACTATCACCCCAGGAAACCATAAAGCAGAACAAAATGCAGTGTTCTACCAACTCTACACAATGAAAACAGAAAGACCCCTGAAATCAGACATCATGAAAGTAGCACCTTTAATACATGACATTCCAGCCCATTTGCTCTCGCTGGTCCCCAAGAAGTCACCTCTTTCCACGGTAACATGACCACCAACACACGAGGTCTCTGCTCCCGCTTCCTGCAGGAGGTGGGCGCACCCCCCCCCCCGGCCACTTTGGGCTCCTGCTGCCATCTGTCCCTGCACTTGACCTAGTCGCACAGGCCAGCTCTGGGAGCAGACTGCTCGCTCAGGAGGTTCGCGCACCCCCAGGCGGTCCCCGAGAGCACCCCTGGTGCTGCCCAGACCAAGCCTGGAGGGAGAGCTTTAGAACACGTAACTTGTGAACTCACTGCTACCAGCCAGCGACAGCAGGGAGCACAGTGACGGGTCCTGCGTGCCGGCAGTGCACTCGTCACCCTGGGTCTGTGATCTTGGATCGACGGGGAAACTTCCAGGTCCAGGACAGACACCCACATCCCAGCGGCTGAGGACAGAGCACTGGAGGGGCTGGAGTTGTCCCCAGGTCACAGGAGGCTCTGGGGAGGGGCTAACTCCAGCAGGCCTTGGCTGTGGAAACAGGCTCTGGGTGCCTTTCAAAGCGGCTCCTCTTTTCCTCCCCCCGCCAGAAACACAGAGGGGCGCTCCTACAGTTTTACTCTGTGAGCCTGGCAGGGCTCTGGGAGGTGGACCCCGAGAGAGGGTCGCCCCGAGACAGACCCCTAGGTGCTTTGAGCTCTGAGCCGGTGTGTTCTCAGCAACCCTCTGGCAGCCCAGCCCCTCCGGGGCGAGGCCAGCTGTGGGGTGCTGGAGACAGACACGTCGACAGACAGACAGGCGAGGGAGATCTCGGCTTCCCCCGGTTCCCTGGGGGGAAGGAGGGGGTCCATCTGGTGAGGACCGAGGAGAAAAGTGTGCAAGCTGATGCCCACGCACATGTCAGCAGAGGGTACCGCACGTCAGCTGCAGCACCTGAGGCCGTAGAAGCGACTTTCAACCTTTCTCATCTCGTGGCTCATAAACTAATTACTAAAATTCCACGGCATATTAAAAACTATATTTTTTGCCGATCTGACAAAAAAAAAATAAGTATAATTTTAATTTATTTGCACTGGACAGCTGCTGTTGTGTGGACAGTTGTCATTTTTTAATTTCACAATCGAGGGGACGAGGTCAGTGGCCTGACTAAACAGTCAGGTACTGGATGTTTGAAAATCCCGCGGCACAGGGTTGAAAACCACTGCCAGGAGGACGTTACTCTGTTTCACGTCCACGTCACGAGGTCCAGCCTTATCTTCTCCCTCCCCGCCACGCACTGGGCCCACTGAGGTCCTGAGAATACAGGCCAGAGTGCAGAACATTTTGTAAATACGATGCTGTTTACACGGTCAGCTCATGGACACGGTTCCATCCTGACGGGCCTGTACCTTCTGCAGAGCCTCCTCCGTTTTCTCGGGGTTTGTCTTGAGGGCTTGAGCGGCATCATACATGGGAATCGGCATGAATCGCAATGTGTAGTTCCTAGAAAACGGAGAAAGTAATGTTTATGTTAAAATAGCTCCAGCACTTTTTTAAAACCCCTAAAGGTAGTTGCCAGAGTGACTTAGAGCAATTGGAATGACCAGCATACGTTGAGCCCGGACTGCAAGGCCATGTGGGGCTCAGGGGGTAGCATCGGGCAACCTCGTCCACTCAGGACACCGCAGCCGTGACACAAATTCTGGGAATCTGGCTATTTTCTGTGTTCAGGGGCTCAAAGGACAGACTGTTCAGACTGGGATGGACAGAGAGAAAGTCAGTATCAACCTGCTGCTTGAGCCATCAGTACCGGTCACCTGAAGGGACCGGATCAGCCCGGTGACCACCGGTGACAGCCACGCCCAAACCGTTGAAGGGAAAATCAAAACAAAACGTTTGCTTGCAAAGCAAAGACACTGGAATCCTCACGATTGGTCTGGCCGGGCTCTGGGCTCCTTTGCATAAGCAAGTGCAAGACGAGCGAGCGGCTGTTGTCAGGAAAGTGCTCCGAGCAGCTTCCTGCCAGGCCTGAGCCCCGAGGGTCCCAGACCCGCCACAGCTGCCGAGCCCGCTAGGCTCTGGCCACCAAACCCAGCCCTGGGGGGTCTTGTCCACATGACCACAGGGAAGCTGGCCAGACACAGGCCTGCAAGGGTGTCACTCAGTAGGACGGAACACAGACAATCCAGGCTCGGGCTCTGGCTCCTGCCGACAGCTGTGTGCTCAGGCAGGGACACCTGCTCCCACAGTGAGCGCTGACCCGACAAGACCCCGCGCGGCCCCATCTCTGCAGCATGGCCCGGGGGAGCAGCTCTGCAGCACTGGGACGGCCCCTAAGTCAGTGGTTCTCAACCTGGGGGTCGAACGACCCTTTCACAGGGGTCTCCTGAGACCATCGGAAAACACATATTTCCGATGGTGATCCATCACAGTAGCCAGATTACAGTTATGAAATAGCAACAAAAATAATTTTATGGTCACCACAACACGAGGAACTGTGGTAAAGGGTCGCGGCATCAGGAAGGTTGAGAACCACTGCTCTGAATGCACAGTCATGGCTAGTTTCAGGTCCCGGCACCATCAGGAGCCCTCGCCACGTGACGGACGCGTGGATCTCAGGACGGCTCCCGCTGAGGAGGAAGTGAGTGACTAGCTCCTAGAACAGGGCAGTGCCGCTAAGAAGCAGGGCAGAGACACGTCATGGGTGTCATCTAATGGAACAAATGTTCTTTGTGTCTCAGGGCAAAAGAGCTGGCAAAGAAAAGGCTGCTTCTGTCCCTTCCACCTTAGTGTTGCTTCAGCAAACTGGGTTCACTCGGGTTTAAGAGGAGCCAGCCAGCCCAAAGGAAGAGAAAGGACGTCCTTTGGCTGCCTTGAAGATGTCCCCTTTCCTCATCCAGTCCTGATCACGCTGAGGACCAGCAAGTCTGCAAGCTCAGCATGATGGGAGCCACCAGCTTCCTGGGGCGCAGCGCAGGCAGGGAGGGAGGGCGGTGAGGAGCCGCTGGGGCGGAGCCGCACACCTGGTGGTGCTCTTGGCTCCTCGCCAAGACCTGTGGGAACTGCAGCCACAATGTCCCCGGGGCCGCTGTGCCGCTAGCACCCAATCGCAGTACTGCAAACACACGTTCCCATGGGGACCGCGTGATGACAGCCGCCTCAGCCCAGGTGAGTGTCAGCCTGTGGGGGCCCCACCTGGGCCTCCTGGCAGACAGAACCACGGGGTTTAGAATCGGAAGGCACTTCGACATAATCTACTCTGACTTTCTGTTCATGAAAGAAGGGTTAAGCAGAGAGGTGAAATGCTCTGCTCAGGATCAGAGGCTGTAGGTGGCAGAGCTGGGGGCTGAATGGAGGTCCGAACCCCAGGTCCCCGTGAGCGTGAGAACGCACCAGGCCTCAGGCATGTAGGGAAATCCGGGAAAACACACAGTACTAGCCCCCCGCCCCTTCCCCAGGGACTGACCTTCACACTACCAGCCCCTAATTTTCCACACACATTTTGTAACATCATTTCCCTAGAAATCTTGCCACATGGTTTCTGCATCTGGATACAGCGTGAGGACCGAGAGAGCTCAGAAAGAACAGCTTCCGGCATATTCCAGCCATGTCCGCATTAGGAGACCCTCGCCTGGTTTGCTGGGAAGGTACACCTGACAATAAACAACCCCGGACTCCACTGAGTCCGGTCATAAAGAAAGCTTTTCCCAGTCATGGGACAAGTCAGCCTCGGGCTGGCCATCCACCCACTGTATGTTCATTTCCTGGATCTCAGCTTTCTTCCCACCACTGAGTTCAAAGTTGTCATAACAGGCAAAAAAAGCAAGACACAGTGGGAACAGTGAAACCATAGGAGGAGGCCCGGCGTCCGGCGTGTGTTCTCACGTCATGGACCAGAAACCATAGCAGCCCCCAGGGCGAGCAGGACCAGCTGGTCCCCACCGCACCCCAGTCCCGGCCACACCCATCACCCACGGGCTCAGGGACTCAGAGCCAACCCTGCAGTTCGGAAGGAAGTCCCACGAACACTCACTTTTCCATAGCAACCGCTATATCTTGAAAGCCTTGTGCCGTAATGTTGTTCTTGTCCCATATCACCGTCCTGTTGGGAAACCGAATGGCACAAGTAAGACCCTCAGGGAAGGCGGAAAAAGTCTCCCGCTGAAGATAAGCCTCCTGCCGGCCACTGTGAGGTCTTTGCACACAGCGGCGTTACCTGAGCGAGAGAAAATGTTCAGCCTGTTCCTAACAAGCAGGGGAGCATGTCTCCAACATTATATTCTCAACACGTCCACTCGCAGGTGTGGGGACAGAGCCCGAGAGGAGCACGGCCTCGTGGGAAGGCCTGCCCACCGATTTCCCGCATCCTCCCAGGGAAGTCAGGCTCACGTCTCTGGCTGAATCTATTCACCCCGGATGCTCATCCGTCTCGTGTCCAGCACACAGAACTCCAGCCGCTGAGACTTGCGTTCTAACCTGGAGGGGATCACGTCCCCTTTTCTCAGGCCCCCATCACTGCGCAACCTGCAGTCGGCAGCCCAGGGACTCCGTTCGCTCCACGGGAAGATCGCACTCACTAGAACAGGAGGCTGCTCACTTCTTAAACACAAGGTCTGACATGGAAGGAAAGTGGTTCCACCTTCGGAATGTGAACACTCCGCACGTGTTTGGGTGTGTCCCTTCACCTGACACCTGAAAGGCTCCTGTCTGCCTGCAGGGTCCTGGATGCGCCACCCCTGGGCTCCCTCGCTCCTGACGTCGGCAACCCTGTACAGACCTACTGACCGCCAGAGACACGGCTGCCGGTTTTGGCTTTTGGCTTCAGTTTAGACAGAAGGTTCAGGCTCTGTCTTATGCCGGGGAGCAGGAAACATCGAGAAAGAGCCCTTGAGCCCTGGCTGGTTTGGCTCAGTGGTTGGCGCATCGGCCCATGGATCAAAGAGTCACGGTTCGATTCCAGCCAAGGGCACGTACCTCGGTTGCAGTTCGTCCCCAGCCCTGGTCGGGGTCATGCAAGAGGCAGCCCATCCATGTGTCCTTCTCACATTGATGTTTCTCTCTCTCTCTTCCCCACTCCCTCCCGCTCTATCTGAAGATAAATGGAAAAATATCCTCAGGTGAGGATTAAAAATAATAATAAAATAAAAAAAGAAGAGCCCTTGAAGGGGACGCACCAGACTGCTGGAGCAACGGGACCTGGTCTCTGCGTGGCGGAGGCTGTGTGATGACCCCATGGCTGGTGCGTGAGAAGAGCCACAGGTGTGAATCACGTGTGGAAACCACTGAGCAGCACAGTTAGCACCCAGTCTGAACTTGCTCTGAACCCGCGACCCCGTGGACCCTCGGTGTGCAGTCTCTGCAGTGGTGGCAGGACCGGGTGGGGGACAGGACACTGGGCTCACACCCAATGAGGGGAAGCGCCCGAGTCACTCCGGCCGCCTTCCCAGGTCCACTTGCTGGGCCTTGCCCACCAGCCATCCCCACTGCCTGCCACCCCGGTACCCCCACCTCGGCACTGTCAACACTGATGTGAAAAGGAAGTCAGAACAGCCCGGCCGGTGTGGCTCACTGGTCGAGCGTCAACCCTGCACCAGCAGGTCACCAGTTCGATTCCTGGTCAGGGCACAGCCCAGTTATGGACCTGATCCCAGTGGGGGGCATGCAGGAGGCGGCCAGTCAATGTTCTTGCTCATCAATGTTTCTGTCTTTCTCTCCCTCTCCCTTCCTCTCTCTAAAATCAATAAAGAAAAATATTTTTTTTTAAAAAAGGAAACCATAACAGTTCTCAAGCAAGTTCCACTGCCCAGTAGGGACCTTTGAGACAAACGCTCGAAGGACTCACTCCGTGTGAACTTGGAGACACCCTCCCGTATTCCGACAAAAGGCCGAAGCCAGCTCTCTTCTCCCCAGCTCTCCGCTCACGGGCTGGACCCCCGCGGGCGGCCTCAGGGCGAGCGCCTCCCCAGGCCCAGGCCGGAGCGTGTACCTGAGCTTGGTGTTGATCTGCAGGGCTTTGGCCAGCATCTTGGCGCCCATGTCCCCCATGGCGTTCCCGCTGATGTCCACTCTGGTCAGGGATGTATTGCTTCCCAGGGCGTTGATGATGATGGTGACCTCAGTCTTGAGCTTGGAGTCGGCCAGGGATAGGGACTGCAGAGGCTGTTAAGGGAACAACATGCACACGGCTCAGCCCAGGAACCACAGAGGGGAACCCCCCCACGCAGAGGGGTTCAGCTGGCTGGAGTGCCATCCATACACCAGAAGTTCGGGTCAGTCCCCAGTTGGGGCGTGTGCGGGAGGCAACCAACTGAGTTTCTCTCTCAGTTCGATGCTTCTCTCCCTCTCTCTCCTCCTTCCTCTCTAAAATCAATGAACATATCCTTGGGGGAGGACTTAAAAAAATAATGGTAAGAAAAACCACCAGCCACAATTAGTGATAGCGGACATTGACTGAACACTTACGATGTGGAAGCAGCATCTCAGCTCTGACCATGTGTTTACTCATCTTTTCCCCAGGAACCCAGCACGGAGGTGTCATTGCATTAGGCTGTTACCCCCACACCCCAAATAGGGAACAAGAAGGCCAAGTGATTTGAAGTCACAGAGAAAGTAGCAGGCAACCTTACCATAGCTGTCTGGTGACCTGAACCACACCGCCACGGTCCGACACCCAAGACTCGCAGTCACCTGGCCGGAGGCAGGTCTGTTCGGCCTGCACAGCATCCGCACGCAAAACCGGCCAGGGCCCCCTACCGACACCCGCTCACGGCACCTGCCGTGGTACCTTCCCAGCCGGCAGTGCTTGCGTCTGCAACCCTCGACGTAAGCTAGAACTGATTTAGTGAAGTGAGAATTCCAGCCCTTGAACCAATGAGGCTCGAAAAATCGGAAGTCAGACTTCCTGGGGGTGGGAGGTCTCTGGGCGACCCGAGGTGGTGTGCTGGCCCGGCCGCACTAACAGGGCTTGTTGTCTGCTTTTCCACGGTGGTTCTGTCACTGCAGGGAAGCAGAGGCCAGAGGTCACTTCTGGGGTCACCACTGACCAGACTCCACTGTGGCTCCTGAAACTGGGGCTCTAAGCATGTGCCCAGTGGTCTGTGTGCCCCCTCGAGCGCTGCACACTGACTCCAAAGGGACACCTGTTCGAGGCCCCCTGCCACCTGCAGCAAGAGGCAGCAGGAGGGCACTGTGGGTTCCAGGCTCAGGTACGAAGAAGCAGCAGGTCTGCGATTGGGCACCTGCTTTCCAGGGGCGACACAGATTGTTCCTATTGTCCAAATTTGATAGAGTTTTCTAAACTAAATACACCTATGGTAAAATGGAAAGGTGATAATGCATCAGTTAGAATCATACTTTAAAAAGTGAAATGGGCCCAGCTGGTGTGGCTCAGTGGTGGAGCGTCAACCCCTGCACCAGGAGGTCGCTGGTTCAGTTCCCAGTCAGGGCACATGCCCAGGTCGTGGGCCTGATCCCAGTGGTGGGGCGTGTAGGAGGTGGCTAATCTACATTCTCTCTCATCGATGTTTCCATCTCTCTCTTCTTCTCCCTTCCTCTCTCTCTAAAATCAATAAAGAAAAAAAAAATTTTTTTTTTAAAGTGAAATGGGCCCTGGCCGATTTGGCTTAGCAGTTAGAACGTCGGTTCGCGGACCAGAGAGACTCAGGTTCGGTTCCCGCTAAGGGCATGTACCTCGGTTGCAGTTTGTCCCCGGCCCCGGATGGGGTCATGTGGTTGGTAACCGATTGATGTGTCTCTCTCACATCGATATATCTCTCTCTCTCTTCCTCGCTCTCTCCCTCCCACTCTGTCTGATGATAAATGTAAAAACGTCCTCAGGTGAGGATAAAAAAAATACTGAAATGGCCTGGCCGGTGCCAAGGCAGCTCACACCTCGGCCCAAAGCCTGCGTCTGTGGGAACTCCGGGGGCTGGTGCGGTAGCGCCCATCTTCTGAAGACCCACCACGCACGTAAAGGGGAAAAGCTTCACTGAAAATGCTTCGGCCCTGAGAATGTAATGCTTTAATTGAAAACAAGTGTAATGATGCTTTGCTAAAAAGCCATAATCACACCTCTCGTCATTTCAATAATCGCTATTCAACTGCTACAAAATGAAATATTACAGCTTCTTCCAGACCCTGGGAAACGGCCAGGTCTCCAAGCAGCGAGCCTGGGTTCCAGGACTGTGTTCAAACCTAACACTGCGAACAGCAGGCAGCACCCGCCAGCACAGGACAGCCAGGGGCAGGGGACAGCCCGAAGCCGGGGACAGCTCAGAGCAGGGGACAGCCCGGAGCTGGGGACAGCCCAGAGCAGGGGACAGCCCAGAGCCAGGGACAGCCCAGGACCAGGGGACAGCTTGGAGCCGGGGACAGCCCAGAGCAGGGGACAGTCCGGAGCCGGGGACAGCCCAGGACCAGGGGACAGCCCAGAGCAGGGGACAGCCCAGAGCAGGGGACAGCCCAGGACCAGGGGACAGCCCAGAGCCGGGGACAGCCCAGAGCAGGGGACAGCCCAGAGCCGGGGACAGTCCAGGACCAGGGGACAGCCCAGAGCAGGGGACAGCCCAGAGCAGAGGACAGCCCGGTGCTGGGGACAGCCCAGAGCAGGGGACAGCCCAGAGCCGGGGACAGCCCAGGACCAGGGGACAGCCCAGAGCAGGGAACAACCCGGAGCTGGGGACAGCCCGGAGCAGGGGACAGCCCAGAGCCGGGGACAGTCCAGGACCAGGGACAGCCCAGAGCAGGGGACAGCCTGGTGCTGGGGACAGCCCAGAGCAGGGGACAGCCCAGGACCAGGGGACAGCCCAGAGCAGGGAACAACCCGGAGCTGGGGACAGCCCGGAGTTGGGGACAGCCCAGGACCAGGGGACAGCCCGGAGCCGGGGACAGCCCGGAGCTGGGGACAGCCCAGAGCCGGGGACAGCCCAGAGCCGGGGACAGCCCAGAGCAGGGGACAACCCGGAGCTGGGGACAGCCCAGAGTAAGGGACAGCCCGGAGCTGGGGACAGCCCAGGACCAGGGTACAGCCCGGAGCCGGGGACAGCCCGGAGCAGGGGACAGCCCGGAGCTGGGGACAGCCCAGGACCAGGGGACAGCCCAGAGCAGGGGACAGCCCGGAGCTGGGGACAGCCCAGAGCCGGGGACAGCCCAGAGCCGGGGACAGTCCAAGACCAGGTGGACAGCCCAGACAGGGGCCGGCCAGAGCAGGGGACAGCCCAGGACCAGGGGGCAGCCCAGAGCAGGGGACAGCCCGGAGCTGGGGACAGCCCAGAGCAGGGGACAGCCCAGAGCCGGGGACAGTCCAGGACCAGGGGACAGCCCAGAGCAGGGGACAGCCCAGGACCAGGGGACAGCCCAGAGCAGGGAACAACCCGGAGCTGGGGACAGCCCAGAGCAGGGGACAGCCCAGGACCAGGGGACAGCCCAGAGCAAGGGACAGTCCGGAGCTGGGGACAGCCCAGGATCAGGGGACAGCCCGGAGCCGGGGACAGCCCGGAGCCGGGGACAGCCCAGGACCAGGGGACAGCCCAGAGCCGGGGACAGCCCCAGAGCCGGGGACAGCCCAGGACCAGGGGGCAGCCCAGAGCCGGGGACAGCCCAGAGCCGGGGACAGCCCAGACCAGGGGACAGCCTGGAGCCAGGGACAGCCCAGACCAGGGGACAGCCTGGACAAGGGGCACTCTAAGCCCGTCCCCTGACTGACAGCCCCTCCCTGACCTTACTCTTGGAAACCTGCATTTCTTTTCAGAGCTGGGGGCCCAGCTGTGCCCCTGTCCCCTGGCTGCAGCCCCCCAGGCCTGACACGTCTGTTCTCCACTCTCAGCATGGGCGGGGCACGTTGCACCCCACAGCAGTCCATCTCCAGGCCCCTGCATGTCCCGGCCCTGCCTGCAGCTCCATGTATTAGGTGAAGTTAGAAAATATAAGGATTATTAAAAGATGGGCTTAGGAGTCCATGTATATTTCTTTTAATCTATTCGTGACAATCTTCCTTTAATTAGTCCTGAGTTGAATCACATGAAGAGTAAGCTTTTAAATCCTTTCCAACGATTCACTAAAAAATAACTTTATTCTATTTGTTTAAATGACCATGGAAAATGTGTACGCAGCCCTGGCCAGCCTGGTTCACTGGTGAGCAGGTTCAATTCCTGGTCAAGGGCATGCACCTAGGTTGCAGGTTCAATCTCCGATTGGTCAGGACACCAGCAGGAGGCAGCCAATCAATGTGTCTCTCGCATTGACGTTTCTCTCTCTCTCTCCCCTTCGCCAGCCCTTCCACTCTCTCTAAAAAACAATGGAAAAAATATCTCTGGTGAGGATTAACAAAAAAAAGAAAGAAAGAAAATGTGTACATGATAAAAATTACCTGGAAGCCTATCACCATTAACCGGAGAAAATAATAAGAATGTCAACAAACAAGATTTTAGGCAGAAGTTTTAAAAACAACACTCACGGATTCTTCGTCTTGAATCATCTGCACCAAGTTGTCCAACACAGGGGTCAGGTTTCTAAACAGATTTTAGAGACAGAGAAAGAGGACTCACAGGTCTTCAAGAGGCTGGTTATTCTCATCCCTGTCATGTAAAAGATTTTCAAAACGCTTACTTGGATTTCATGTTATTAAAATTTTTGCCTAACGCCAGGTGCTGTATGGATCTGTTCTTACTGAGCCACACGATTAAGGTGGACAGGTCCGATTCCAAGCCTGGAAGGAAGAGAGGAAGAATCAGGACGTGTGCAACCAGATGCTTGGCAGGAACACGCTGGGCAGAGGCCACCCCCGAGGCCTAGGACTCTCCTCTTTTCTTTCCAAAGGGGCCTATGGCTCTCCTTTCCTGCCTTCTTATTTCACAGGCATGAACTCTCCACAAACTCCTCCCTACATCCTCTTGCACCGTGGGTGGGTGAGCAAGTCCCCCTCTGCCATCCGGGGTGAGGAGCCAGCGCCCCTCCCTAGGAGTGCAGGTGCCTGCAGATTCCACAGGTTCCCACCACGGGCTTCGAACATCAGCGGGCGTGCCACCACTGCAACACACTTCCGAATCAAGAGACCAGGGCTCAGCCTCATCACCACCAGGAATGCAAGAAGTGGACTCAGACCTTCATCGGTGGACCTGAGATATTTTAACTGACTTTTTTATGTCCTGCCTGGACCTCAAACTGTTGGCCGTGGAAGCAGCCTAGTGAGACTCTGGTGCAGATATATACCATAAATAAACTCCGTCGTTCAGTTAGAAGGTCCTAGCAGAGAAGGCCCGAGGTAACACTGAACGCGGGGCCTGTTCGGGCTAAGCGGTGCCGTCCCTGAGGCGGGCTCACCATTGTCGGAGATGTCCAAGCTGGTGATGTTGTGGATCTCGGCGATGCAGCCTTCCAACACCTGCGCGCCCCCCGACCTCAGCTGCAGAAACACAACGGAACACAGGACATGGTCACCTGCTGGAGGTGTAGCCAAACCTCAGAAACAGGCGCATCTTAAACTTGGCACCAAAATAAAAGCTAAATTTTAAAACTTCAGAAAAACTATCACCGGCAGTAAGAGGCCGACGCTGTCTTCCAGTCTTCCAGATCACATCAACCTTGAACCATCAGAAGAAAGAAGACGGAGAAAACCCAGAGTCGCCTTCAGCAAGACACAGTCCATCAACCCACAAGAATTTGCTTTAGCCCTGGCCCGTTGGCTCAGCGGTTAGAGCATCGGCCCAAGGACCAAAGAGTCGCGGGTTCGATTCTGGTCAAGGGTGCATACCTCGGTTGCAGTTCAATCCCAGCCCTGGTCAGGCCCGTCGATGTGTCTCTCTCACATTGATGTTTCTCCCTCCCTCTCTTTCTCTCCCTCCCACTCTATCTGAACATAAATGGAAAAATATCTCAGGTGAGCATTTAAAAAATAATAATTTTCTTCACTTCTGGTGTTTGGAAATCTAACCAATCCTTTTTCATACCTGAGGAAGGGTTATTCTTTTGTTTGCACATTTCAGGAATAACCACCCACCATGTAGCAGCAAAACCACCAAAGGGGACGAGAAAGACTGACTTTGAAGGTCAACCATTCAGGAGAGACCCAGCCCTCCTGTTCTGTAGCCGTGGGTGTGGTCACAGCAGTGCGGCAGGGGACAGAGCTGAGCGGGGCTGCAGGATGGTGTGGACAACCACACTGGCCACCGCAGAAAAGCTGTTTCATGAACCTAAATGACGACTATTACAGTCAACTCAAAATACCTAACTCACTCCAAACAGGATACATAACCCAACCATTTCGTCTTTTTCCATGAAACCAAAAGCACAGTTTCCAGACGTCAGAATATCGTTGTACGTTCCTTTCAGCAACTCTCCGCGTTCCTGCAAGAGAAGTGTCTGCGGGACGCGGTCTCCCGTGCGCAGCGCCGTGCTCGGACTTACTGTCTAATGGGAAAGAAACGGCCGTTCGCTGGGAGCTCGCTACGTGCCAGGGATCACGGCGGTTTCTCTGTTCACTTAAGAAAGTTAAAATTCATATGAACTGCTATACCAGATGTGCAATGCCAGGTGCTCTTTTCTACTTCTTCAAGTTTTGATGTGAGAAGTTAAGGAATCTTGATTTCACTATTTTAGCAGCAATATTTTTGTGGGTTTCTGGACCAAAACCTGCCGATTCCTCTGGCTGCTCACAGGAAGGGCTCGGACACAGGCAGCGTGGGGACGGTCCTGAGAGCGAGCAGCCCCAGCTGCCCGCACATCCCTGCTTTCCCTGGGGGGAGCGCTCCAGCTTTCCCAAATGCCCCTGCAGCCCCATCATACCACCTGCCCACCTTCCCCAGCACCCTGCTGCTCCAGCGTGGCCCCTGGGGACGGGCGGCGGTCTGCAAAATGTGTGACTGGTCTCAGATAATACTGGTACAGAGATTGACCATAAATAAGTATTTTAGAAATCGTAGTAATATTTTTTCTTTTTTTTAAATGTATTGGGATGCCATTGGTTAATAAATATAAGTTTCAGGTGTACTGTTCTATAATACATGACCTGTATATTGTATTATGTGTTCACCACCCCAAGTCAGGTCTCCTTCCATCACCATGTATCCCGGTACCCTCTCCTACCTGCCCCCCCTTTTCCCTCTGGTAATCACCATAATTATTTCAGGTCTGTTAGACCTAATAATAAAAATTAAGGGCTTGTATTTTCTATGTCTTTTTAAATTTTTGCAAAAATGCTGATTCAGGATAGAGCAGAGTTTTAAAAAGCAGCTTCTTCACCACGAATAGTCTCGAAAGCGCAGCTCCCAGTCACACAGCCTGTTAACACGCAGTGAATGTGTCTGCAGACGATGTCAAAGTTAGAGCAAGAAATTATTTAGGCAAACATTTCAAAGAAACAGAATTAGATTTTCAGAACATGTAAAAAAACTGGGCTTTTGAGAAGATAGCGGAAGTGCCCAAGCCTTTACAATTCCATTACTCGCTGTTGGTGACTTCTCTGTGGAGAAGTACATATTCTACCACGAAGCCCCTACTTTTATTATTATAAAGTACAGCAAAAACATTCCACTTACACATTCGGAAAATGCAGCTGACATTCGAGTGTTCACTGTTTATTTTGTAAAAATTCCTGACTGACAGTTGTGGCATATAACCCTAAAAGTAACATTTCCAATTGTCAAAATAATCAATACACCAGTGAGTGCTAATGAATCAGTTCATAAAGTACTTACACAATGGCCAAGCTAAGGGAAGCCCAAGGAGAAAAAATAAAAATGTTACCATTGTAAACAGAATAAGAACCAAGAAGCTAAAGTCTCTCAATACACAATGTAAAAAAAGAGCAGAGTCAGAGAAAACACTTGCAACTAAAATTTGTTCCCAAAACAGAAATTGAACATTTAAATATGAAAATAACAAATCTTCAGTTACCAAGAGCACTGGATTAAATTCACAGGTCACTGGATGCATGACTTCCCCCAAAGCTAAAGCTCTCCCAAGGCTGTGGATGAAAACGTCCGGGCATCTGCGTGAGAGGCTGGGTAGGCCTGTGCACCTGCACTGCCAGTTCTTAAAGCACCCTGACCGGGACCCACTCACCCCATTACTGCAAAGCAGGCAAGACCAAAGGGGAGCAAACACAGCTGACCCCCGAACTCTTTTTGAAATGTTAACCAAAACACTCACATTTCTTTCCCAGAAAAGTGTCCTTTCACTGAAGGACGCTGACCACTTCAGAGGTGACTCACAGGTCTCAGCAAACATTTAATACTCAAATATTCACAATGGGGACAAGAGAGGCAAAGACATGGAAATCTAGAGAAGACTCAATAATCCACTTTCCTTCCTCACCATCACTCACCTTTCAAAACGATGCAGCAACTATTACAGATTCAAATATAAAATAACCCTCTGAATGATCACTTTTCCTCCAATTTAATTTTAAAAACTAATTTTTACTCTGGGAAGTCTTCTCACGAGGACAAACTTGGTTTGACGAGAGCCAGCAGAAATGTCTTCTTGCTGGTAGGGTTTGATGTCAGGAGCGATTTAGACGCCAAGTCAGGGATGTAATGTACAATCAAGCCCACGACGAGAGCAGCTGCATCACCACAGTCTCACAGAACAACCTGGGCTGAAACGTTTTCTGGTGTGCATTCCTCACCCACCTAACAGGAGAGTGAGGACCCTGAGGGGCAGGTGATACAGATGCCCTGCTCGCCTCCTGCCTGAGTGACTATCAAGTTGATGGACTTGCCTGAAGTTTCTATGCCTGTACTCCCTGCACAGTTTGCTACCTGCTGCTCTTTTATCTGCTCGTTAGAGCACCTTGTAGTGAACCATGGTCAGGGCCACAAGCTCCCCTTCCGTCCACCCCCACAGCCCATCCTCGCTGCATGAACCTCTGCACCTCCTAGGAAGCACCCCATTTTTCTCCCACTTTATTCTTCCCTTGAAGTAGTGAGATTTTAAAAACCAGACTGGAATGCACAGACCCACCGCCTCCCTTCAGGTAGATGGGTCCGCGGGGGGCAGGGGGGTCACCCAAACACCGCATGACCAGTCCCACGGCAAACAGCTTTGGAACTCTTGCTTCAGAACCACCTGGAAGGCCCTGGAGCACGCATGTCTGTGAATCTGCACAGGTGCTCAGTCCTTGCCCCTTTGAGGGTCAACCAGGGTCAGCCACAGGCACAGAGGCAGGTCTGGCCGGCCGTAGGGGGAATGTTGGTTTGTGTCCAAAGTCAGGTGTGACTGTGCATTTGACAAGACCCATTTTCCTTGAAGGATTTAAAATAGCTTTGAGGGCAATCCCCAAAAAATGTTTTAGTAAAGACAGAGTATTTTAAAGCTTCTAAATAAACATTTTTTTTAGAAAGGCAGTACTGACCTATGACCAATTTCTGACATTCAAAACAGGGCTTCTTTGTAGTCACCCGTCCCCCACATAATGGCTCATACATGCCAGGCTCAACCTTGTGCAAATACCCCCACAGGTGAGAAACAAAGGCTGAGAGAAGCCACTTGACAAACCGGTGTCTGGGCCATATGTCAAAGGGGACCGTTCTGCTTCCAGAGTGCCCCCTTGCACTGTGACACCCTTCTGTCTCCCACGACAGAAAAGAAATTACTCCTCTTTGGTACTGAGACCAAGGAAAAGGGAAAACAAAGTGATAACATAATTAGTAGGAAACATCTTAGGAACACAGAAGTTTTTTCTCTCTAAGTATAGAGGTCATCTGTAAATAAAAGGTTCACTTCATTACTTTTTAGCTTAGCCTTCACAGATGAAAAAGAATGCAGCCTAAAACGTGGGATTCAAATTCCCAAATAACAAAACGTGGGATTCAAACTCCCAAATAACAATAAAACGTGGGATTCAAACTCCCAAACAACAATAAAACGTGGGATTCAAACTCCCAAATAATAACGACGTTTTGTGTTGCAGGAAATTGGCCCCAGGAGCGCTCAGCTGGGCTCAGGTCAAATCCGGAGTCTGCGAGTCCGCCCGGGGCAGACTGGGCTGGAGCTAGATCCTCCAGGGCTGAGGCCCGGAGGAGTGTCCAGGACAGGACAGTGGGTGTCAGGGCCCAGGAACCAAACAGGCTTCTGCCCCAGCCTGCAAATAGACCCAGTTGGACGTGTGGGGTGGAGTCAGGCTCTGAGGAGGCTGGGGGTTTGTTTCCAGGTATTTGCTTATAAATCTCCCAAAACTAAGTCTCCATATAGTGAACTTCAGGTACTTTCTAAACAGGGAGACTTTTCGTCTTGATTCCTCTCTCTGTGTTCTTTGATAGGCACTGTCTGCAAGTACTATGATTTTGAGAAGTGTCTTAATGTTCTTGTTTTAAATTAAGATATTATAACAGAAAATTAGGGACAAGACAGCCTTTCTCTTCACACCATCTAAGTTCAAGTTCATGTACATAGTAGCCCTGCATGGAATGTTGTGGGTTCACTTTGTTCTCAGGCTTCATCATAAATGGTTAAGCAAATGGCCACAAGAATGAGGATTTCTTTTAAAGTCATTAAAAGCACACTTGCATGTTTTCTGAATGGGGATCCGTGGATGTTTGTAGATAAAACCCACAAAATACCGAGCATCGGAACTTTCCGTGATACGTTTTTCTGCTTCATGGACACATCTGGAATCACATATCATACTCTTTCCAGGAACAGAAGTGAATGAGGTGGAGCTACTCTGTCTTCCGGCGCAGGATCCAGTTCTTACCTCACAGCTGCTGAGGTCCAGGGACACAGCCTGCAGGTTGTGGTTGCTGGCCAGGCTGAGCAGCAGTGCCCTGCAGAGGAGACAGATCCCAGGCCCTCGTCAAGGCGCAGGTCCAGAGAAGCGTACCGGGCTCCCAGGCCGGCACCGAGCACCACCTCACTGTTTAAAATGCCAAATGCATGCCCCGGCCGGGGGTCGGGTTGGTTGGAGCACTGTCCCATACACCAAAAGGTTGTGGGTTTAATTCCCAGTCAGAGCACAGGCCTAGATTGCGGGTTCTTCCCCAGTTTCCTAAATAAGGACAATGATACTTTGCCATAAAGTTGTCAACACTGAAGGTGATAGTCCCTAAGTGCCCAGTACCCATCCCCACCTCACAGGTCTCCCTGAGCACCTCACCGTGTCACAGCTTCCCAAATTACAGTATCACATGCTAAGTGCTTGCAGAGTGTTTTTCCAGAATCCCCAGCCAGGAAGCCTTTCCCTCACACTAACATTTGTGCGGTGCAAGACACAGAAACAAAGAGACTCCTGGCTTAACATAACCACCCGGCCTGGATACCCCTTGGTTCTGGTTGGATGTAACTGAACATTCCCATAAATAACCACGGGTCAAAGGACGTGACAATGACAAAATAACTGTGAGCATAATATCTAGAGTCTATACCTGTGGTGAGTCCAGCATCGTTGTGCAGAGTATTCTATAAAAGTAATCGTGCTGATCACGGAGACCACGCCACGCCTTCCAGGACCAACGGCACGGAGAGAATCAGATCTCCGCGAACTTAACGCTCACCCTGCTCCAGGAGGGCAGGGTCATGTCTGGTCTGCTCTCCACCCAGTGCCCCTGGCATGGAGCACAATGTAAATGCTCAATCAATAGTAGCCAAACCAGTAAGTCCCTGAGTGTGGGTAAATTATGGCAGAACCCTTTGGAGTATCAATTCTGGGCCTCTTAACATCCATGCAAACAGCCCAAGCAGGAGGCTGTTACCTTTGCGGCTGTTACATCTGGAGGCCTTCCACATATGAATTCAATGTTGCAAAGAAAAAGGCCAGCGAGAACGTCAGCCTTTTTTTAGCACTTCCCCAGACCTACCGCCCTTAAAGACACCGTGGTTTCACTGCAGAACTACGGGAAACACTGTAACTGAGAACCCCACACGGTTTACAAGTTACGTGAAGATTAATGTTCTGGTCATAAGAACAACAGACGTGGGCTTGATCGTTTCACACAAGTTACAAGGGAAAATACCGGGCCAGCTCCCGCCAGCCGGGGAGAGATCTGAGCACGTGTCTGACAGCAGAGATTCAGTTACTTGAAAATTTGTTATTTAGACTCAAAGAGAAATTGGTTCTATGGCCCTTTTGATTATTTATGGGAATGGTGAACAGAAATTTCAAGGATGGTAAATTATCTCCAACATTACTGTGGCTAAAAAGTTTAACTTCAGCACTAGCCCTGCATTGTGGACACGAACCCCTAACAAGAGTCGGCTGCCAAGTTAAAACATGAGAGAGAGAGAGCCTACCGTGACCTAGGAAATTCAGAAACCAAAGCACTTAAAAATCAATTCTGCTGCACCCGTGTGTGTTGAGTTTGACTATCACTGTTAGTAGAAATATTCAGAATATTGATTAAAAACGCACACATCCAGCCCTGGCCGGGTGGCCCAGTTGGTTGGAAGTGTCCTCCTGTACACCAAAAGGTTGCAGGTTCAACCCCCATCAGAGCACATACCTAGATTGCAGGTTCAATTCCCAGTCAAGGCACATATGGGAGGCAACCAATTAATGTTTCTCTCTCACATCGATGTTTCTTTCTCTCCCTTCCTCTCTCAAAACTCAATTAAAAACAAACAAAAACCCCACACACATGCATTTTATACCAAGAATGGACAAAAGCAGGGTTAATATGAAGGCACCAGGGAAGATTTCTTTATTCACACAAGAGACAATCATATCAAGAGTGCACAATATACTCAAAAAGAATCAGATTGCCTCTGTGCCCTAGAGTGAAAACACATGTCCGTCTTCCTCATAGGTTTCGAGATTCTACATCTTTCTCCCTCCATCCCGAGCACACCGATAACCAACCGGCTGAAGTTGAACAGCTCTGGAGAACAGAATGAACCACTCACTTTAAGGGCTCGGGAGACAGTCTTGTGCCTGAGAGGCTGATGTGCGTCAGAGCCAGAGAACTGCTGAAAAACTGCCTGAACGACGGTGGGACCTCTCTTCCTTTCCTGAAAAACAGAAACAGGAGTCACCCTGGCAGCCTCCCCTGCTCAGCACTGGACTTCCAGCACTACTGGTTCATACGCTGTGAAATAACCCACAAGTCAGTTACATGTTCCGTAGGAACTGACAGGGAAGAAACACAAATGTCTGTGAGCTAACTGAGTTAATCAATGAAAGGAATGATGTGAGAGAAGTTAAGACATCCCATGAAGTCCTTAAAACAACGAATTCCTGTTCTTTGTCGCCAGTAACTCCATGCTTGGGTTTTTTAAGAAACAGGTCAGTGAAAATACACAGGGCAGCATCAAATGTCACAGATCGCCACCTGCATTGGGGAATATTTCTAGATGCAACAGGTCTCAGGTGCAACCCAACTGTGACCCGAGGTCAGCTGAGGAACAACAGAGTCTCAATGTCCCGAATATGCAGACCACAGATCTAACCACTTCTGACCAAACAGTAGAATAAAGACACAATTCCCCAAGGAAATGGCTACACCTTCCAAATACGTGCCCTTCAGTTAGCATGGGAAGAAGTGGGTCAGGCCAGGCCCTCACGAGACTGCAGCGCCCACAGCATGCTGCTGGGAGGGTGGAAGAATCAAAACGAGAGTCCAGCACCGGAGCTGGAAGCTGAGCATTTTGTTTTGTCCTGGGAGAACCGATGCGAGGACCAAACAAGCCCCTGAGCGAAGCACTCAGCCTGACGCGCGGTGACACTCTCGGAAGGGCAGGTACTCGTCTCCTGCAGAGGCGTTCATGGAGTCTTGGGCCGAGGCCAGACTCAGGGTCCAGCTCAACCATGTAAGATTCAACAACATTGAAGGGACAGTGGTCCCGGAACACCTGTCAAATCTGAAAAAGGTTTCAGAGCAGGAAAACATCAGGCTACGAGAGAACTCCCGCAGTAATCAGCACCTCTACCTAAGAGGAAAGAGAATCCTGATGGAATAGCAGGCGTTTCCCACGCAGTGGCTCTGGTCCCCGAACATGTCAGCTGTCTCCTCCGTGCCCTCTGTGAGGGGCAGGTGGGTTCAATCACTACAGGAATGCAGTCCTCCTCCAACTACCTTGTCTTGGTGTCGACTTTTCAATGTTCCCAAACATTCACTCTCCTTTCTGAGGGAAGTGATGCCCGCCAGCTCACTGGCAGCAGCCGTGGCCGAACGAGTCCCAGAAAGAACCCTTACCAGCCAGTATGCGCGACGCCACAACTCTTCATCCTTGGTCAAGTGACCATCAGCTTTCTGCAAACAGGCTGCTCAGCCTCCCAGGGCGAAGGCCACGTGGCCAACCCACGAGGGACAGGCCACAAAGCTACTTGCTGAAAGCCACAGAAATGGGGTGGGTGGGTCATGTTACTGCAGACCAACCTAACCCATCCTGACCAACACATTTATGAAGATGCCTTTACCCAGGTTGGGAACAACCTGGCACCCAGCCCACGACTCGGTGCTGATGCAGCAATCCCGAGGTCATTGCTGACGGCTCTCTAGGAGTATGTGCGGGTCAGGCACTGGGTGCTGAGCAGTTGAACCATCACCCTTCACTTGGAAGATACGCAATTGGTTAGCACAAGTTTTTCCCACACGTTGAGTAGCTCCTCTGAAGACCAATCATCACAGAAGCCGCAGGACTGGGAACTCAGGGAACTGACTGTGTGAGAATCTTCGTTGCCTATGACGTCGCCTTCTAACTCCGGTCCTCGGTCCGTCCCAGCCCCACGAAACAGACGGCGCCATGCTGCCAAATACACGAGTGAACTGGGTCGTCTCCATACCCTCAAAATAACGTATCTTAAAAAACTCTCAACTTCCCTGCTCTTACTCTACTGAGGTATTTGTAGCATATTTTTGCTACTGCAAAGATTGACATCACTGATGAAGTGATGGACTGGCAGTCCTTGAAATTCAGAACAATCATTTGCAAGACCCAACTGCGGAATAAAGCATGCCGAATGACTGAGTTCTCCAAGTAAGTGGAGGGTGTCCCTGTGGATGTAAAGCTTTGAGAGAGTTAACTAATGAAAATAGAGGTATTTCTAATATTAAGCAATTCTCTGTTATTGAGGAGCACACAGTGACTAAATCATTGGTTATGACTTGGGTCCTAATTACGAACGCTACATGTTGAACTGGATAATATTTCAGTGGTCCCAGGACTCCACACTTACATCCGCGAACTCTTTGTAATTCCTCCTTATTCTCCCTCCACCGAGGTAGCTGCGCTTTATGAAGACTTGCTGTTTCTAATGTTCTGCCCTATTTTGCAAACAACGCTGAGTCAGGAACGTAGAAACAAGGTCCTTAGGCAGCCCTCTCCCCACTTGTACGAATCATGATGTGTGTGTCTGGGGTGACGATTCTCTTTGCTCCCCAGAGGTTTATATTTACCTCCAAGTTCATCACTGAGAAATACCTGCAGAAGTTGCTGAAACAGCCCTCCCCAGATGGAGAGAGCACCTGCCCCCAGGTGAGGAGCATGTCGTGGACAGCGCCCACCGGACGCACTCACCGGGAAGAACATCCAACTTCATCCAACTTCAGGAGACGTTCCAGGCCCACATTCACAGATCACAGTGATTTAAGATGGTCATTTATGCCCTGGCCAGTTTGGCTCTGCAGTTAGAATGTCGGCCCACGGACTAGAGAGACCCGGGTTCGGTTCCCGCTAAGGGCACGTGCCTCAGTTGCAGTTTGTGTCCGGCCGCGGTTGGGGTCGTGTGGGTGGCAAACACTCGATGTGTCTCTCTCACATCAACATTTGTCTCTCTCCCTTCCTCCCTCTCTCCCTCCCGCTCTATCTGAGGATGAGTGCAAACGTGTCCTCGAGTGAGGATGAAAAAAAAAATTTGTTATTTAAAACTACCTTCTCCTGTCACACACAACATTCACCCGTTATGACTCTGTCGTCATAACGCAAGCCCCCAGAGGTGCAGACGCGCCTGGACGCCGCGTACCGGTGGGAGAAGACGGCCCTGGAGAGGCGCAGCACGGCCAGACACTGGAGGCACCCGCGCAGCAGAGCTCCACAGACCTGCGGAGACAGAAGCGCTCTTACCTCGTGCACCTCGGGGCCGAGAGAGCAGGGGCGTGGAGCCCTCGGCTCCATCGCGCTACGCAGCTGTTCTGAGACCCCACCCAGAGCAACATAGAGCATTACCATGTCCAGGGAACATTCTGTGTTGGATAAATCCAGATGCGTAAGGGCATTTGGCTGGGCCAGAAAACTGTACATGTACTTGAAATGAAAAACAAAAGCAAATACATTAGGATTGAGAAACACACACACACACACATTGCAAGTTAATCCTTCAAAATGAAGTTGCCTAAATCCTCCCAGAATCACCTTCCAGTTTTCCCAAGAGAATTGGTAGAATTATGTCATTATATTATCTTCCTCAAAAGCAAAAAAAAAATGCAAAGAATATTTAAAATAAAAATTCTGGTCTGGCCGGTGTGGCTCAGTGGCTGAGTGTGGACCCTGCACCAAGAGGTCGTTGGTTCAATTGCCGGTCAGGGCACATGCCCAGGTTGTGGGCCTGATCCCCAGTGGGGGCGTGCAGGAGGCGGCCAGTTGATGTTCTCTCTCATCAATGTTTCTATTTCTCTCTCCTTCTCACTTTCTCTCTCTAAAATCTATAAAGAAAAAAAAAATTCTTTGTAAGTAAAAATAAGGCCAAATGGAACCTTGGCTACAAACTCCCTTGTTACATGCAACCTGGTTTTCCTCATTCACTCCATGTTCTGTCATTCTGAAACCATGCTAATGAATCTTCACTGCTGAGAGTGAAGCACCACCTGAATGGCAGCCACCCTATGACAATAAGAATCGTTTTTCAAAGCGTTTCAGAAGCCGCTAAATTGAATCTAATCCGTAGGATGGTGTCTGGCGACCCTCTCTTCTGTCCAACACAGTAATTTTCCCATCCTTGGTTACTTCCACAATCCAAGGAGAATGGGCCTGTCAGTACTATTAACTTTGTTTTGTTTTCATCTCGCGTGCAGCTAAGGCACATCAGGTGTCAGGGGCTCACAATGTGAAGCCCTTGTCCCTGTGCAGGGTCGTGGAGACCATGCAATTTAGTGAGTGTCCGTCATTCTCTCACTGCACGATTCTACCACGTGTGAGCAGCAGCGGCCAGAGTGCACCGACAGCCCGCTCAGGCCACCTCCTGCCACCAGACCGCAGCTGGACTCCCCTTTGCTGCCCGGATGCCCCAGCCTCCGGCAGAGCCAACATGCCTGCAGCCTAGCGGAGAGATGCTGCAGAAAACTCCACTCGACCGCAAGATTCACAGGAGCAAACAGCCAGCCTGGAAATACTTTAGGACAACCCGACACACAGCAGACGCCACTATGAAAAGTTCCCAGGAAAATCTTTTCATTCTTGCTAACATGCTAGTCTCTGCTTCCCTGGCTGGGCCTGGCGTGTGGTTGCACTCCTGGCCACCAGCTGGGGGAGCTCTCGTCACCTCAAGTGGTGACCAGACTGCTTGGGGGACTCTGCCTAGAAGAGGCAGGCCCGTGAGCGCCCCTGCACCAGCACCAGTTCGGGCCCCACGGCACCCCGGCCTCTCCACAGCCCACAAGGCCCCATCCCGGCCCGAACTTCAGCAGACTCATTATTTCCTCTTTAATCCCTCCCCACCGCTGGCCCGTCACTGTCATGTTCCGGCGGTTTCACATCAGACTCCTTCCATCTCGGACGAACAGACTGATGAGTCTGCAGTGAAGGTGACCAGTCACTGGGCCGTGTGCTTAAGTCACAGCACAGGAAACAGCACTATCTGAGTGATGTCAGGTGTCAGGGAGACAGGACCACAGAGGGCACCCTGGCCACCTCCCCCGCCTGCAGGGAAGGAAAACACTAGAGAAACAAGAACAAACATCACGGTGTTTCACCCACCAGGGACTAGAACTAACTTGGGTCCTTTAAAGACGCCGGCCTGCTGCTGGCCCTCCTGGTTAAGAAAGCACCTCTTCCAACTTCTGTGACGGTGACCAGAGGGTCACCCGACACATCTGGTGATGAGGTCACCCCTAACTCTCAGCATCTATCGTTTCTGCCACGTGCATCAGCGATTCGGCTGCACGGAAAACCTTGTTCCTGCTGGGCGAGCTTTCTCCTGCACCCTCAGAGGGAGAAGAGAGCCCCGTTCACGCTGCGCCCCGGCCCCTGCTATGTGCGTGGAACACAGGGCTGGCAGTTCCCCCAACGCCCCCTTCCACTGCAAACTACACACAAAACCACCCCTGCTCCCAACAACATTAACAATGATGCAATAACCCAGTTTACATGTCCCATCTTTCCTATCGGGCAACTTTAACAGGTGCGATAATGGTTTTAAACCAAGAAAAAAAATCCCTCCAAAAAACATATTTCCTAAAAGAGCTCAAACGCCAGCAACATTGAATGAGGGAGAGAGAAAATCTGTGTCACAGACATTTCTTGAAGGAAGGCTCAGAGATTTCTCTAAAACACTTCACAGGCTCATAGGACCTAATTTTAAGGTGTCGCCGTAAAGGACGCAGGGAGTGCACTGGGTTCAGACACTGTCCCAGGCCACTGCACACAGCTTCTGCGGCAAGGACAGCGAACCTACCGAGAGGTCGTCTCCACGAAGGGCGTTCCCTGAGAGGTCCAGGTGGGTGAGGGTGGTGGCGGTCAACGGGTTGGCACTGAGCGACTGAGAAAGGCTGTTCACCCCTGAAACAAGAAGACGCGCTCAGTCTCCACTCCAGGAAGCACATGGGTGTGCGCACGGCCCCATCAAACTTCAGGACTGAGGTTAACCGTGAGCGCCGTCCCCACGAGTGAGCTCGAGGGTGGTCTTTGCACACTCGCCCTCAGGAAGAACAGGTGAATCCCAGACACGGACACGGGAGAGATACGGGGTCAGCCTCTTTCTGTCCCCTCCTTCCCACACACACAGAAAGGACTTCGCTTTGAAGTCGCAGTGGCGCAGGCTGCCTAATCGTCACTATCCTTCTCGGGACCCTGCGGGGAGTCCCGACTCCGTGCGGGGTGTTCACTGACGCAGGTGCACAGCCAGACACGCGGAGCTGCCGATGCACCTGGGGATTCACTGGAACACTCCGTCCCGCTGAACCCGCTGAGCTCTGGGCAGAGCCGAGACGGGTGGATTTCAGAGAGGAGTCCCGCGTGTGGGGTCAGAGCACCCACAGGAGACACTGATGATGAACATGCTACACACCATTCACACAAATAACATCAGCAGCTTGTGTGAGAGTCAACGGAACAACGCTGGTAACACCACCTCAGAAAACCGAGAAGGACCCACGAGGGGCAAGACGGCCCTGGGCGGGAGAGGCCTGGCCCAGGGTGACAGACGGGCTGCGAGCAGGGTGGAGCCCAGAGCAGTCTGCACTCACGAGGCCCAGAGGGCGCTACAGAGGGTCGGCATCGTTCCTTCTGAGACCGCAGGGCTACGGGGGTGTTTTCACCAGAACTCCATGGTTTTCACTGTGTGATTTGAAAATACAGCTATCTCTAAATTTAGTGTACTTTTAAAAATTATTTTGTTTCTAATTTTTCAGTGAAATTTTTGACTCTCCAGGCTGTCCCTGAAGACAGAAAAGGGGTTTCATCCACAGGAGGAGCAGAGCCTCAGCCTGGATGGGGCCAGAGCCGGCCACCAGCAGGAGCCAGGGAGAGCTCTGAGGGGGGAGCTGAGCTACAAAGACCCGACTCCAGCCCGCCGGTGTGGTCAGTGGGTGCGTGTCGACCCTGCACCAGGAAGCTGCGGGTTCATACCTGGTCAGGGCACATGCCCAGGATGCGGGCCTGATCCCCAGTGCGGGGCACGCAGGAGGCAGACAACTGATGTTCTCTCTCACCCATGTTTCTTTCTCTCTCTCTCTCTCTCCCTTCCGCTCTCTCTGAAATCAATAAAGAAAAAAAAATTAGCCCTGGCCGGTTTGGCTCAGCGGTTGGAGCGTCGGCCTGCGGTCCGGAGAGACCCGGGTTCGGTTCCTGCTAGGGGCATGTGCCTTGGTTGCGGTTTGTCCCCGGCCCTGGTTGGTCGTGCGGGTGGCGGCCACTCGATGTGTCCCTTTCGCGTCGGTGTTTCTCTCTCTCTCTCTCTCTCCCTCCCACTCTATCTGTGCAAAAAAAACGGAAAAAAAAAAAGAAAAAAAAATTAAAAAACGAAAAACAAAACCAAAGACACGACTCCGGTGTGTCTGACCAAGTTGTCGGGCCCACTGCTCAGGGTGAACCCACATTTGGGCGCATAGAGGAGATGGGGGCAGATGACAAATATTTCACTGAAGTTCAAGGAGGGATTTCTTGGCCATCAACTCCACACTTACTAAGTGGCATTCAAAGGTTTATACAAAGCTGAGGATCTGGATTAATGTAACTGAGACCCATTCTTTGCCCTCAGAAAGCTCAGAGAAACTGAAGTCCAGGATGAAAAGTCGGAGCCACGCGAGGAATTCACTGTAACAGATCTTCAAGGACAGCCGCCTTCGTGCAGGCATGGGCTCCAGAGACCAGGGCCACCCACCCTGGAGCAGCCAGTCCTGGGAGACAGAGACGGCAGGATCATCCGTGAGGCCAGCACAGGCAAAGCCGTGAGGCACGAGCCTGGCGTGAGGAGGTGCAGAGCTAGCCATCGTGTCAGGGAAGCAAACCCGCAACGGCCACAGAGGGCTTGCTCTGGCGGCCACACCTGTGCTGGCTCGGTGGCCGCCACCCTCAGTCTGTCCCGTTGCTGGTGCTGTTCGTGCATTTTGTAGTGGAATGACTGAGTCCCAAATGCAAGGAAAACACCAGGCTCTCATGAAGAAAGTCATTTGTAAAATCACTTCCTTAGTGAGGTATGACAAACCTTAAAAATAAATTCCCAAATTAACAGGTCAAATGAGTCTCCACAGCACATCGCTGGCCGACAGGGACCAACCCTTGGCAGTCGGCCGACATCTGCTGAGACTCCAGGTGAACCACACCAGCAGCCCAGCTTCATGCTGCTGAACAGCCCAGGGTCCAGCCCCCTCGTGAGCCCAGAGCACAGAGCTGGGGTTAACAGGCACATCAGCAGCAGGAGATGCAGACGTGCAGGATGGGAAGCATCAGGACTCTCACAGCCCAGCAGAACACAGATTGCCACGCCATCCTGGGTCCCGCTGGTTACTGTTGGAGCGTCTGCCGCTGCAGGGAGCTGGCGGCAGATGGCCGGCCCCACAGCCTGGCCGCCAGCGGGACAGGCACTGGGAGTCCAGAGAACGACCACTCCAATAACATCGGAGCAAGAGAACAGGGTTTGGAGACATCGTGGGAGATGAAAGAAAAAACAGTTCTTGAATGATGGAGATGGGAGTATAAATATTTTTCTGGAACTAAAATGTAAATGCCAGTCAAATGCAACAAACGCTTAAAACTACCACTCCGTCTGAGTCATTGTGAATTCACAAACCCCTCGGCTCCTCTGACAGCCTGAAAGAACCAGGAGGGCTTTCAAAAATCAGTGTCCTTGTGAAAACATTTCGAGGTGCACATTCTAAAACGGGCGACTTAAGATTCCCTGGGTCACATGTTATAAAACACGAGCCGTCTCACAGCCCAGGCACCGCAGGGCAGAGACCGATGGGGACTGCCCCCTGGGAAGGGCACAGGGAGTGGGCCGTCCTCATTCCCCAGGAGCTGAGGGGACGCCCGCGTCATCACACACAGAAGGACGGACTTCAGAAGTGATGACGCTGGGGTGACTCAGAACCGAACCTGCCCTTGGGAGGAGGTTCATGACAGTCATGAACAAACAAGTTAAAATAAATAAATATAATCAACTTTCTGCTGTTGTTAATCCTCACCTGAGGATATTTTTTTCTTTTTTAGAGAGAGTGGAAGGAAGAGGGAGGGAGGGAAACATCAATGTGAGAAAGACATCAAGGGGTTGCCGCCCGCACACCAGGGCCAGGGATCCAGCCTGCAACCAGGTATATGCCCTTGACCCGGAATCCAACCCTCATCCCCTCAGTGTGAGGGCTGACACGCTAACCACTGAGCACACCGGCCAGGGCAACAATCCATTTTTAATCTCACTCTTCAAAGAGTTAAGCCCATGGAGCACATAATAAATTTTTGATATTTTTAATATGTGAAGAATGACTATAAATTAAGTAGAAAAACCAACACAGTAAGGAAAACTAGAAAAGATAGGAATTAGCAATTCCTCCAAAAAGCAAACACATGACTAAGGCGGGAGGTACTGCCTGAGCAGTAACTGAAGGAAGTCAAATTAAAACATCAGAACAGGTTTGCTTATGTGCTTAACAAACAATGAAAAAGTATAATATAACCAGTGATGGTGGGAGTGTAAAGAGATTTTTTTAAACATTTATCTTTATTGTTGGAAGTATTACAGATGTCCCTCCTTAAAGAGATTTGTACAAAACTTGGAGGAAACCTTGACAATAAATACCAAGAAAAGCTTTGTACAAATTTGCAAACTTGCCCTGGCCACTTTGGTTCAGTGGTTAGTGTCAGCCCTCAGACCAGAGGGTCACAGGTTCGATCCCAGGCCCTGCTCAGCAACCAGTTAATATGTGTGTGTGTGTCTCACTGTCTCTCTCTCTCATCGATGTTTCCCTCACTCTCTCCCTCCCTTCCACGCTATCTAAAAATCACTAGAAAAATATCCTCAGCTGAGGAATTCTAAAAAAAAGGTGGAAACTCTTTGATCAAGTCATTCTCCTTATAGGAATTTATCTCAAATAAGAATTTAACAAATGACCAATTATTAGATATAGGAATCATGTAAGCTTTGTCTTCGTCTTAAAACTGCCAGAACGTGGTAATACATGTATGTTATTATTTTATTATTAATTTTTTTAATCCTCAGCCAAGGATATGTTTCTATTGAGTTTTAGAAAGAGACAGAGAGAGAGAGAGAGAAATATCAAGGTGATAACAGAAACATCCATCGGCTGCCTCCCATACATACACGCCCCAACAGGGGCTCAAACTGCAAACTTTTGGTGTACAGCACAACACTCCAACCAACTGAGTCACCCAGCCAGGGTAGTAATACATATATTTTCAATGCAGACACAGAACTGAGTAATAATTCTAACTATTTAAGGTAGCATGGTATATCAGAAATATTATATTACAGAGATAAAGTTAAGTAATAAGAGGTACTGTACCTTTGGGCGACAATGAGGTTTTAGATAAATTCAAATGTTTTAATCCCTTTGGGAGTTTGGCAAATTGGATACTTAAGGAGGACACACCTGAGAAAGAGAACAAGGAGGAGGATGAGAACTTTCACTGCTCAGAATGCAGCTGCGTTTCCAAGGCCTGACAATTACATCTAATTCTAACGTGAGTGACCGTTTTTCTTTCTGACGTCAGACCTTGTTTTCCTTCTAGCATCTCGGCGCCTTTCCTTCCTGTCCTGTCTATGGGACAGGAGAAAAGGAAGGTGTTCAGTTAAGCGTAACAACATCAAAACTTTACCATCAGAGATGTTCTCCTTCGGACCAAGCGCACGCTCTCCTCACTGTCCCCCTCCACGCGCGACATTCGGGGCGAGCGTGGGCACTGCCCCACCCCTCTCTCTAACCTGTGTCTTTCTTGGCTGACATTTAATTTCCTAGGCGTCCTCAAGACACAACGACATCGCAGTTCTTCTTTAAAGACGCGCCCAGGCACAGTGCTAACGAAATGAAGGCGTAACTGGGTCAGCGGTATTTATTTTTTATTTTATTTAATGAGAGAGAATTAAACTGATCTATGAAAATAAGGCAACGTTATTACGCAAAGGGTCCCACTTTGGCCAGCTTCCACTGTGGGTCTCGGCAACATGAGTCAGTTGGCAGCCCTGCCCTTTCTGACGCTGTCCACTCCACGGGGCCGTGGGAGGGGCCGGCCACCGGGAAACGCCCCGCGGACGACACACAGAACACACTTTCAACTTTTGGCCCAGACGATCAATTTTGACCCAAGTAAAGCAAAACACAGCCTCCAGAGCTGTGAAGTAAAACTAAGTTTATTGCTAAATGCTTTTGTTTGGGGACTTTATTGGTTGGCTTACCCTTATAGTGATTTATTTCCCTTTTTTCATATGTGTCAACCTTAGAAGAAGAAAAAAACGTTCTCATTTTTATTTCTCCTTTCAAAACAAAACTATCACAGCTCTCTCTGCTTTGAAATATCTTTTTAAAAAGTAATTATAAAATCTTTAGTATTGTAATTTGCCATCTGATGTTAGTTCATTGCAAACACAGGAAATTAAATGTGATGTTGCAGATTTCACCACTAATCCTGTGAGCACTTTAAAACATAGTATATTCTCACAGTGGAAATTCCAGAATCAGTATGATTCGCAAGGTCCTTACTAACTGAAAGCATCGATATTAATAATTTAGCAAAATTCCGCCTGTGGACTTAGCAACACGACACCAGAAGCGACAGGCTCCCTTCTGGTCCGGGAGGAACAGAGGCTCACACAGGCCGGAGCGAGGACGCAGACGAGCTGCGCGGAGAGGACGGCCCTGCGGCCCCGCGGTTCTGGGGGAGGCGAATGAACACACAGCCGAGATCCCCACGTCGAAGGCCGAGAGGGGGTCCAGGAACTGGGGATGCGGGAACAAGCCTCACGGGGAGAGCAGGGTCTGTACATCTGCCTTTCTAAGGCCCTAAAATCTGTGCCGTTCGTTGTTAAAATAACTTTTTACCTTGTGTGACCATAAAAATATCAGTGAAATACGTCTGCTATTATGCACAGCTTTCTGTGGCTGAGCTATCACAGAAACCTGGCGTTTCTCAGCTGCTAAAATGACCCCTTGAGAAGGTGTGTTCCGGAAGAGCCGCCGTTTCCAGCAGAACCGAAGCCTGTGTCTACACATCCTCAGGGGTCAGACCATCACACCCGCAGTCCGAGGTGCTGACAGCCGGGGGGGGGGGCGGTCGATTCCTCAGAAAACCCTCGGACAGAGGCTGGCAGCTGGCGTTGGGCAAGACTCCGCAAGCTTTGTCCAAACCAGGTTTCTTCACTGTGAAAGGGGAAGGATACCACTTGGACTATCAGACTTCATGGGGCTATTTCAGGACTCAGGTGAGGTAGGAGAAGCAACCTCTGAGCGCACAGGTGCATTATCTCACTTAGCCCTTAGGGCCCCCAGGGCGTCGAGTACCTCACTTAGCCCTTAGGGCCCCCAGGGCGCCCAGTACCTCACTTAGCCCTTAGGGCCCCCCTGAGTGAGAGGACTGTTATGATCTATTTTGAAGATAAGTAAAGTGAGACACAGAAACAGCAGGTAACTTCTCCAAGGAAATTCAGCTAGAAAGTGACAAAGTCCAGAGCAGGCCCATTTGTTTTAGCTGCAGACACCAAGGGGTGTGACAGAAAGATGATCTGGAGGAGACCAGAGAAATTCCAAAATGTTTCTTTGTCTCATCTGGAAGATCACATCAGAGCCACCCGCAGATGCTCTGGAACAAATATTTGGGGACGTCAGGTCAACACTTCAAAAAAAAAAAAACACTCTGAAGCAGGTTCTAAATCATCTCTAAACAAAATAATCAAATTTAGAACCAAGTGAAGGGAGGAAAAAGGACAGACACCCCAGACAAGGCCGAGGCCATAAAAATGGGGTAACCAGAAAACCAGGAGTCCACAGCGTTCGAGGGTACGGAGCATGTGACATGGGACAGAGCAGAGCTCATGTCTCCGAAAACGCTCCCCTTCAATCCAAGAAGCCATGACAGACCCACGAGGCTCAGCACTGGGAGAGGACGGAGGACCAGACCCTGGTCAGCAGGGGACTCACGCAGGGCTTGGAAATAAGCTCAGCCACAGCGAGATGGCCACGCCTCTGCCACCATAACCCACATAAGGAAAGAGAGTTGAGCCCTGGCCAGTGTGGCTCAGTTGGTTGAGTGTCATCCAGTGCACCGAAAGCCTGTCGGTTTAAGTCCCAGACAAGGGCACCTGTGGGAGGCAACCCATTGGTGTGTCTCTCACATGGATGTCTGTTTTTTCTCTCTCTCCCCCTCTTCCTCTCTCTCTAAAATCAACAAAAACATTTTTTTTTATTCTCACCTGAGGACATTTTTCCACTTTTGTTTAGAGAGAGTGGGAGGGAGAGAGAAAAACATCAACGTAAAAGGAGCACATCGAGTGGCTGCCTCCCACTGGACCCCGACGAGGGCTGGGGACGAATCACAACTGAGGTACATGCCCTTGGCCAGAATCGAACCCGAGACTCACTGGTCCGCAGGCCGATGCTCATTTAAAAAAGAGTTCTTGCCCTGGCTGGTTTGCTCAGTGGTTAGAGCGTCAGCCCATGGACTGAAAAGTCTCAGGTTCACTTCCAGTCAAGGGTACAGACCTTGGCTGCAGTTCAGTCCCAACCCTGGTCAGGGTTGTGCGGGAGGCAACCAATCGATGTTTCTCTCTTTTCCTCTGTCTCTCTTTATCTCTCTCTAAAATCAATAAAAACATAGTTTTAGAAAAGAGTTCTTTATAAGGAAGCAAGGAAGGAAGGGAGGGAGAGCCCGGCCAATGTGGCTCAGTGGTTGAGCGTGGACCCATACACCAACAGGTCACCAGTTCGATTCCCAGTCAGGGCACATGCTCAGGGTGTGGGCCTGATCCCCAGGTGGGGGGCGTGCAGGAGGAGGCCAATCGATGTTCTCTCTCATCCATGTTTCTATCTCTCTCTCCCTCTCTCTCTCTAAAAATCAATAAAGAAAAAAAAAAATTTTTTAAAGAAAGAAAGAAAGAGTGCTGACATGGGAGGCAGGACCCTCACACAAAAATAAACATTAGAAAATGAAAACTAAAGCTTTCCTGAACAATGCTCCCTGATATTTTCTACTTTTTTTTTTTTATCCTCACCCGAGGACATTTTTCTATTTTATTGTTCAGACAGAGTGGGAGGGAGAGAGAGGAAGAGGCAGAGAGAGAAACATCGACGTGAAAGGGACACATCGAGTGGCTGCCACCCGCACGACCCAACCAGGGCCGGGGACAAACTGCAACCAAGGTACGTGCCCTTAGCGGGAACCGAACCCGGGTCTCTCTGGACTGCAGGCCGACGCTCTAACCGCTGAGCCAAACTGGCCAGGGCTATTTTGTACTTTTTAATGCTTGTCATGAACTATTAAACTGATGTCATGACCAACCACCTGAACACACTGTTATGAGGCCAAGGGCAAGCTGGGCCGGGCCTGGCCACCAGGGTCACAGGGCTGGTGCCGTGAGGCTGTCCCAGGGCCCGGGGCCTGGGCCTCGGAGGCTCTGCTCCTCCACGGGGCCCCTCTGCTCCTCAGACCTATGGGCCTCTCCTTCCCACAGGCCTCCTGACAGGGGGGCCACCTGTCCCTCGTAACTGGTATGACAAGCAGACCAACCTGTGACGATCAAAGATTTGCTGCACCCACATTCGTATCACAAGGCAGGGAACCCAACCCCCTCATCTCCAAACAAGTCCTGGCGTGGACACTCGGGGACACTTCTGCTGCGGCCCCATCAGCCTGTGTTTCTCTGAGTTTCCCACTGATTCTCTTCCCCGGCTCGGTCCCTCTCACACGCGACCATTCAACTGCAGAAGCCTCCCCCAAGCTTTTTATGGTTTTGAACATAAAATACTGTCATTGAAAAACTCAGATATAAAAATCCTTAACCGTTTTCCCCTAAATTGAAATGTTTACACATGTTTTTGACCCCGCTGGATTTCTTGTGCAATTTCCCTCTGGGAGCCCAGAAGCAGCCAACCAGGAGCATTTCCATCAAAGGTGGAAAGAACCAGAAGCCAACAAGAGCCCCTAGAGGGTAGTCACTGCTCCGCCAGCTCGGTTCTCCGGGTCCCCAGCCCAGCAGCAGGGTGGGGACCCCGCCGTACCTCGGTCCTCCAGCGGGTTGCCAGCAAGGTTGATCGTGTGCAGTCCTGAGCCAGGGTTATGTGCCAGAGCGCTGGCCAATTTCTGTGCAAAATCCCTGCAAACAAACACGACATCGATGAGGCGGCGCAACAGGCACTGCTCCAGCAGCCAGAGGAACACTGACAAAGGAGACGCTTTCCTCCCCAGGGATCTATGGGCCATCACTTCTCAGTGCCCATCCATTCTACGCGAGGACAGATCCTCGGCAGAGACTCTGTGACGTCACAGCCGGGTGTGGTTCGCTTCGACTGGCCAAACCTCATCCAGAAGCGCAGAGAAAACCACGGATCTGCCCGTCAGACACATTTCAGGGTACTGGGACATACGAGTCGGCCCCTCCACAACGGAGTCCAGTGCCCATGAACGCAGACCTGATGGCCCCAGTGACAGTCTAAGGGCTACAGTTGCCAGCACCATATTGTAGCAAAAATCGAAATGGCCATTTTCGGGGTGTGAAACTTAAAATCACACACGGAGTGCTGTGACGATGGAGCTCCCCCCCTCCCCACTCGCAGGCAAGTCTGTTCGACCGGATCCAAGCCCTGCTGGGCCCCACACAGGCCTGGGTATGGACCTCAGAGCCATGTGGTGAAGGCGATGTAAGTGTGAATCTGAAGAGGGAGGGAACCGGCCCCAACAAGTCAAAGCAAAGCAGTAAACTAATATGCGTTACATTGTTACTACAACTGCCTTCGGAGGTACTAATAAAAGGCAGGACCTGAAATAAGAAAGATAACTATTCTAAGCACTTCACATAAACTAAGTCATTTATCCTCATGACTGTAATTATATAAGGAAGGTGCTAACATTATCTCCATCTCAAAGATGAAGAGACTGAGGCACAGAGAGCAGAAACAACCTGCCCAAGGCCACGAGGCGTCTGGCTCAAGGTCCATGCCCTTGGCCTCTACACCAAGCAAGGTCAAATATATCCCATGACACAACAGCAAACACTATATAAAGTCTGTGACCCCTGTAATAAAGACAGAACTTTTTAAAGAAGGGAATAGAGGGTTCTCTGCATGTGAGACTCCCACCTTTCTTTTCTTTAACTGTATGTTAATTTTAGAAGAAACAGCAAAAAGTTGTAAAGCAATATATTCACATAGGCAGGAAATACTCACGCTCGAAGTCCAGCATTTTCCAACACCAATTCTTCCAGCCGATTAGACCGACTCACCACCCTCAAGATCTGTTCACAGACATCAGTGGACTGCAAGAGAACACACCCTGTACCCACACTGTACGTCTGAAATCAAACTCACGTCATTGTTAAGACCTATGCTGATGCAAAGTTGTAACGGAATCAATCATCCATTCATTCAACAAACCTACATGAGCACCTACTACTATGCACCATCATGATAAAGGTCCTAGGAATACAGTGACAACATAAAGGACAAAGTCCCTGCTTTGTACCATCCACTGAGAATGAGAAGAAAACATAATTTATGGTAGAATAATGAAAAGACCATTTTCGTAATACTCCAGGCACACAGAGGTACATCTCACCCAGTCTTGGGAAAACCAAAAGGAATTCCCAAAGAGACATGCAAAATGGAGAATAAAGACTAAATGGCAGTGATGATAATGATGATGGTGACAATGATAATAATGGTGAAGACAGTGATGATGATGGTGATGCTGATGACAATGATGTCTGATGGTGATGATAATGGTGGTGATGGTGAAGATGACATTGATGGTGATGGTGATGGTGGTGGTGATGGTGATGGTGGTGATGATGGTGATGGTGGTGATGATGGTGGTGATGACAACGATGCTGATGGTGGAGGTGGTGATGGTGACAATGATGATGATGGTGATGACAATGATAGTGATGGTGACAATGTTGGTGATAGTGATGACAATGATGGTGATGACAATGATGGTGATGGTGATGGTGACAATGATGGTGATGGTGATGATGATAATGATGATGATGGTGGTGATGGTGATGGTGATGGTGATGACAATGATAGTGATGGAGACAATGATGGTGGTGGTGGTGATAACAATGATAGTGATGGTGACAATGATGGTGATGACAATGATGGTGATGGTGGTGATAATGGTGGTGATGACAATGATGGTGATGGTGGTGATGACAATGATAGTGATGATGGTGGTGATGACAATGATGGTGGTGGTGGTGGTGGTGGTGATGGTAATGGTGGTGATGAAAATGGTGGTGGTGGTGGTGGTGGTGATGGTAATGGTGGTGATGACAATGATGGTGATGGTGGTGATGATGGTGATGGTGATGACAATGGTGGTGCTGGTGGTGATGATGGTGGTGATGACAATGATGGTGATGATGGTGGCGATGGTGATGGTAGTGATAATTGTATTAGAATTTCTATATGATTTCTATAGGCATCTCAGTAACCTGCCAAGTAGTTATACTGCTATGTCTGCTCATTCATTCAACAAACTAACTTGACATCCATTTACTAAACCAATTTTTATTGAGCAGCTATTATGAGCCACCTACTCTGATAAGCACTGGGTAGCAATGAATAAGACAGGAGCTCCAACTTGCTCCCAATAATAGGTACGCAGTAAGCTGAGGCCCTGAAGGTCAAGTAACTTATCTAAGGTCACAAGCCTTGTAATAAGAGTCAGAATCTGAAAACCAGGGTTCTGTTTCTAAGCCAACACTTTTTCTGACACCACACTGCCTCCTACTGGACCCCAGTAGGTTCACAGCCCTTGTTCCTTTCCGACAATGCCTTAGGTCACTCAACCCCAGGCCAACCAAGAGGACCACTGGCCTGTCCACTTGCAAATGTCAAACCTCCACTTTCTTCAAATATACATCTCAATCCAAACCCTACCTCTTTGCTATGAAAATCTTAAACCACCGGTTTCTATGACCTCTGAGAGTTGGAGGCTTGAATGTAAGGGTCTCCAATAAAACGTCTCAGTTATCTCCTGTCTGGACGGGAAGCAGCAGAAGGTAACTGGAGAAGCAACTGTCCACAGAGTTGCACTGAACATGCAAAAATACCTTAACAGACAGCACCTTATTCCCTCTAGGAAAGCAGGCCAAGAATGTGGCTCCTTCCTACCTTATGAAAACTAACTGATCTCACCTTCATTTCATTCTGCTAACATATCAATGTGTCCCAAAAGTTGTCCAGAAAGTCAATGTAGACCGTTGTTACTACCTGGTAACACTGTCCGAAGTTCTTAGGCAGGGAAGCGTTGTGGAGATGACAGGGACGTACATCTCCTCTCTGTAGTCATGCAGACATTACTTGACTCGCTTCTGCCAGGAGAACGAGTGGGCACTGACGGCCACACCCGTCTTTCTGCTCATCAGTACACTGCCTGACACAGCTGAGAGCACCCGGAAGCACTTGCCAAGCATCTCATGTTACAAACTTGAGAACATGTTCTAAAGATTATTTCTTAAGAAAATATCTCTCACAGAAATAAAAATATGTGTGCAGCTCACCAGTAGAATAGAAAATCTAATCAATTTGGGGGATAATTAGCAGGTTTTTGAAATGCAAGCCCAGCTGAGCACCATGGGCCATGTCTTCCACTACTTACCAGCCTGAGGTCCTTAGAGGACAGCTTGGCGAACCACTGGTTGTGCTCCAGGGCGGCGGTGATCGGCACGAGGTCCCTACGGGCAGAAATAACAAAGCGCACGTGCATGCTCCTACAATGGCCATGATCCGCGGTGTCCAAGTCCACATATTAACTTACACTATTTCTATATAATCCAACATCCAGTTAGAACAATGTAAACCACTAGACAACAATTAAATTCCGTACGCTGTAAGCAGAATTCCTAAGGGTTGAAGTTAAATTACCCGTAGGGACTCTTATTCCTGTTTCCAAAGGGAAGCAGGTTGGCAGCAGTGTCTGCTCGGACAACCTCCTCACTCTAAGAGAAATCGTGTGTCTAATTCCACACTGAAGCCTCACTTCTTGGGATGGCTCATCGTAAGTTCTTGAACCATCACCGATGTCATACACTCTAGTCAGAGGACTTCTGTCGCAAGGCCAGGGTCCAGCCTGGTAATAAGTAACATCAAATGGGTCCCCAGTGCTCAGCAAGCACCCTACAACCACTTGGTGCTCCCTTGCGGTTCTCAGCGCGAGCTCATGAGGCAGGCCAGGTGCACTTTGTCTTGATTCCCACACGCTCGCCAGCTGGGAAGGAAGTATTTGCGTCACAGTCCTGCCACCGCTGTTTTCCAGCCTCATCTCCAACCACATGTCCCTAACTCAGGCTTATGCCCAAAAGCCAGTGCTCACCACTCATCAAACACCGCGCAGTTTTACTGTCAGAAGGACCGCCTCTGCTGTGTCCGCCTATGAAAATCCACGCGCCCTCAGCGTCCACAGCACAGACTGTCCTAGGAGGACCCTCGCCCCCAGCTAGCACATGCTCGCATGTCCAGTCAGCTTGTCCTGTTCTGTCTCATATTACAGTTTGCTGCCTGTACCCTGTCCCCCCAGGTTGCACTGTCTTTGAAAACCAAGTCTCTGTTCAGTTCTGTGGCTTCAGTGAGGCCATCACCAGTTTTATCCGCAGGGCATGACAAGCAGCCAACATGCAGATTTTACTGAAGTAAAACAAAAAGGCAGGAAGTGGAAAGGGCTGAAAAATCAACATTGTGTCCCAGCTTCTGAGTGCCAAGCCCTGACCTACCTCACTGAAATCTCAAAGAGAATTTGGAGGCTTAGTTAAGGCTTCAGGAACCCACCCAGGCTGGTTTCCTGCCGGGTGAGCAGAAATTCTGTGAGCCGGTATATTGGGAGCAAGACACTGCTGGTGACAGAGGCACGATGCCCAGTCATCCCCACTGTCCAAGCACATGCGAGGGACAGCCGGCACCCTGACTTCTGCCTCGATTCCAAACAGAGAGAAAAGGCTTGTTGGGCTGGGTTCACTGTTGGGGGACTGACATCGCCTATCCTGCAGCTTATCTGGGGTGGAGGAGGTGAGGCTAGGCCAGGCCAGGATCAACTACAGGAAAGACATATGGGGGGTCAGGGGGGTCTGAGGGAAGCTTCTCTCTGGGGTCTGGTTATGCTAGCCACAGCCCTAAATTTATTAAAGTCAAGGTCATGAAACCCAAAAGTCTCTCAAGTAACTTTTCCCAGGTGCCAGTTTGATGATCACTGTCATAAGGCAGACACTGGCAACTGACACCCACGGCAGTGGGTCCCAGGCCCCAGAGAAACGGCACACAGCCATTTACTAGGGTGTCAGCAGGAAATGTCCTCCTAGGAAGAAAATGTTACAAGTGGCGGTTAGTCAAGAGAGAAGTGTGTTTTACATACAGACTAGAGTAAAGAGACTTTGTGAGCTAGTCTAGGAACTAAGAATTAAATTGTTTCCACAGTAACAGCAGCACATTTTCTACCTGCAAACTCGGGATTTGAAGCCCGCATGGGTGCCCCAGACATCACAGTGGCAAACACATTTGAAATTGTTCACTGAAAGGCAAAGCGCAGAGGTTCTTAGCCTCTCTGATTCCTCTATGGAAGGGTCCTCAGGACACCAGTGCATCCCTCCGACTCAGCAGAGGGGCAGCCTGAGAGACGAATGGGGAGGGAGTGAGAGGAGGAAGGGCTCTCACCTGTGGTCCAGATGGCTGAAGTCCTGTAAATTCAGCTCCCGGGTGTCTTGTGTCAGATAAATTGTATCCACATCCTATTGGAAACATGACTCAGTGTTGCAAACAGCGCACACGTAGGCGACAGGGGGAAGAGAGATGCAGAGAGAGCCAGACAAACGTGGCGGACCTCATGTGGTCTGAGCAGGGAGATTGTGAGCAGAGATGGATGGTGGGGAAGAGAAACAAGCCAAAATAATACTAAAAGTGTGAGTGTATGTGTGTGTGTGTGTGAGCTTGAGCATGTGTGTGTATGTGTGTGGGAGTGTGTGTATGTAGTGTGAGAGTGTATGTGAGTGTATGCGTGAGTGCATGTATGTGTATGTGTGTGAGTGTGGGAGTGTGTGTGGAAGTGTGAGTGTGTGAGTGTATGTGAGTGTATGTGAGTGTATGTGGGTGTGGGAGTGTATGTATGTCTGAATGTGTGTGTGAGCATGAGTCTATGTCAGTGTGAGTGTGTGTATGTGAGTGTGGAAGTGTGTGGGGGAGTGTGTGTGAGCACGAGTGTGTGAGAGTATGTATGTGAGTGTGTGTGTGAGTTTATGTATGTGTATATGCGTGAGTGTATGTATGTGTATGTGTGTGTTGTAGTGTGAGTGTGTGAAAGTGTGTGTGAGTATATGTGAGTGTGAGAGTGTATGTATGTGTGTGGGAGTGTATGTGTGAGAGTGTGTGTGGGACTGTGTATGTGTGTGAGAGCGTATATATGTGTACATGAGTGTGCAGGAGTGTGTGTATGTGAGTATGTGTGAGTGTGTGCGTGTGACTTGTATATATGTGTGAGTGTATGAGTGTGCGGGAGTGTGTGTATGTGAGTGTGTGTGAGTGTATATGTGTGTAGGGGGTGTGGCAGTATATGTGAGTGTGTGTATGTGTGGGGGCTGTTTGTGTGAGTGTGTGTATGTATGTGTGTGTGAGTGTATATGTGTGTAGGGGGTGTGGCAGTATATGTGAGTGTGTGTATGTGTGGGGGCTGTTTGTGTGAGTGTGTGTATGTATGTGTGTGTGAGTGTATATGTGTGTAGGGGGTGTGGCAGTATATGTGAGTGTGTGTATGTGTGGGGGCTGTTTGTGTGAGTGTGTGTATGTATGTGTGTGTGAGTGTATATGTGTGTAGGGGGTGTGGCAGTATATGTGAGTGTGTGTATGTGTGGGGGCTGTTTGTGTGAGTGTGTGTATGTATGTGTGTGTGAGTGTATATGTGTGTAGGGGGTGTGGCAGTATATGTGAGTGTGTGTATGTGTGGGCTGTTTGTGTGAGTGTGTGTATGTATGTGTGTGTGAGTGTATATGTGTGTAGGGGGAGTGTGGCAGTATATGTGAGTGTGTGTATGTGTGTGGGGTGTTTGTGTGAGTGTGTGTGTGAGTGTATATGTGTGTGAGTGTGCACACAAGCACAGAGATACACTCACCCACTGTACTTCTTCCCTATACGGGAATCCCAGCCAGTCACAGACACAGGCATACATCTGAGAAAACCCACCTGAAACAGAAACAGAAACGGGACGAGGTTTCAGGTAAGAATTTTTTAAGCTAAAATGTAGAAGCTTCCACACAGCCCATGCCGACAGGCTGATCATCTTGGCCTGGGGACAGCGGGACTGTCCTCCTTCCAGTGGGCACGCGGAGTATACGGGGCTCACAGACAGGACTCTGCCCAGCAGTCTGGCCGTGTAATTACCTTAAGACTAATTGCACCTCTACGTAGCACACTAGGCACTGACTCCACTTCTTGGCCAGGGCCATCCACACAGCCACTTATATTTTGGTTCAAAAATGTGTGCTCACCACAGGGTCCCTGCTCGGCCACAGGCTGGCTGTCCCACAGGGCCTGGAGGCTGGCCAGTCGCTCCGATGGCTCCATGGACACTCTTCTCATGATTTTCCTGCAAGATCGACAGCAACAAATGTCAAAAATCAAGGGTTACGGACCACACATGGAAATCCATTTTGTGAGGGGCCTTTTTTTAAAAAAAACAAGGGTGTTGCTTTGATTCTGGAAAATAGAGAGAGTCACGGGCTGAGAGAGGTGAGGCGAGGCCCCAGCAAGCAGACACGCAGGCCACGGCCACCGCGCCAGAGCAGTTTCAGGGACGTCAGCCACACCGCAGCACGGGGCCACCTACCACCTCCAGAGGGCCCTCAGTCTACTTCCACATAAACTCCTATTTTGCAACTCTCTTCATGGTAACCTCGCCTTTTCCTATTTTGATTGGCTTCTGACTTCAGGAGGGATTTGCAAAGCCATTTTGAAGCCAGTCGTGCGGAAACAGTGCCCTGCCTGTGCTAGCGGCCAGCAGCCCTCCCCGCGGCATTCGCAGGGAAGAGAGATGGAGCACGAGAAAAGTCATGTGAGGAGGTCCCCGTTCCACCACCTGCAAACAAGTTATTATCCCATTGAACAAAAAATGTAATTACAGAAATGCAATCAACTCACATAGAAAGGCATAATAATAAAAATCAGCAACATCAAACGCCCCTCCCCCGATGTTACGGCCTCCCTTTCTGCTCCGGTGGGCTTCGTTCTGGTGCGGCCGGGTGACCAGCTGAGCAGGTCTACAGTGAGGCTTCCGGGCAGTTTCCCAGTGGCTCTTATTCCCATTCTACAGACGGGGCACTGAGAAGTGAGTTTATTGCTGAGGGTCTCACTCGGCCCCAGACGTCTGCGGAGCACTGGGTGCAGTTTACTGGGCCAATCCCACAGGGAAACCTCGGCCAGGGAGCAGGAGCCCGAGGGGAGGAGGCCAGCCCCACCCAGCACCCTGGGACTCACACGGGAGACTGGCCAGGGAACGTTCTCCGCAGACAGGAGCCCACGTGGGCCAGCACCTCGTCCACGGCCTCAGGTGACGTCATCCTCAGGGACAGAAGGCACTTCTCAGTTTCCAGGACCATCTGCAAGAGTGGGACAGGGGTGCGGTTAATCGGGTCATGAGTGCCCCAGGGGATGCTATCAGCCTCGGGAGTGTGCACAGGGCCAGCAGGGTCTGGGGTCCACACTGCCGATTCTCAGCGTTGGGAACAAGATCACATGATGCACTTTATAAAAACACAGAGGGGCCCCCAGATACACTGAACCTAAACTGCCATGTGTGTAGGGGTGACGGGGGTTCTGCTTAAGGAATCGGTGTTTTCAAAAAGCATCCCAGGCAATGCTGACATACTGGCTCCTGACTGCAGCCGAGTGGCTGGTGCCAGAGTCCAAGCTGTTTCACTTCAGGGTCATCTCCAAGGGCCACACCATGGCACCGAGTTACACTGGAGCCACGTGGTAGGGTGGTTCTTGTGGCACCTCAGTGACAGAGCAGCTCCGAGCCCCGGGGGGTGGTGCTCGAGACCCAGGCCTCTGAATGTCACACGTGAGGAAGGGATGGGATCACACCGTGCTGAGACCAGTTCTAGCAACCACGTGGGAAAAATCAGCCCCGCCTTCTCAACACCCTCTCTTACCATCAAACGCCAAAGTCAACTTGCATTTTGACTATAACCTTGGCACTGACATTTCACTAGTGTCCTTCTGCTCCCATCCCAACCCCCAAGTCATAAACGTGAGCATTTATGACGTGAAACCACCGAGAAGGCCCTGATGACATCATTAACCGTGAGTGATGTCACCCTACTCACAGGCCAAACGGGTAAACATATGGGGCCATGTTTTTCTTCCCAATTCATTTCTGGAGAATGATAAACACAGGATGAAACATCACTGGAAGACGAACTGTGGAAAAGTTCCGAGGATTTGTATGGGATTTCGCTCAGCATGGAGACGATCTTGACAATTTCTTTTAGGAAGGTTACCAACAAACTACACACACATGTGCATTTCTTTATAGTTTTGAAAACTAAAGCAAAAAGTAAGTACAAGAAATGAAATAATAAAGAACAGAGCAAGAATCAAAGGAACCAATAGAGAAACATCAGTGAAACCAAAAAGCAAATTCATTGGGATCAATAAAATTGATAAACCCCTAACCAGACTGATAAGGAAAAAAAGGACCGAAGAACCATATTATCAGTATTAGAAATGAGACCCTACAGATATTTGAAGGAACAGTGGATATTATAACAACTTTATATCAATAAATTTCACAACTGAGATGAAAATGAACAAATTTCTTAAAAGACAAATTATGAACACTCACTGAAAAAGAAACATGTATATGAAGTGTCTACATCTATTAGAGAAGTAGAATTTGCAGTTAACAAGCTTCACAAAGAGAATATCCAGGCCCACGAGACCCCACGGACGAAGAGCTAATAATTAACTGTCCTAGAACAGCTACAGAGAAGGTTTTCCTTATCAGAACCAGTTCTGACCCTGCCCATAGCCTGTTCAGCTTCCCAGGTCCCTAATCCTGCCCTTCAACATTTTCTCAAGAAACTTTCAACCGCAAAACCAAACAGAGGATGCTTCACAGTTTCAGAAACTCAGGAGAGGTGATCTTTCGGCTACAGCAGCAGGTCTCTGAGGTTCACTCACCTGTGTGGGTTTGCTGCAGGTGACACCGTGAATGTCCAAGTAACTGAAGGTCAACTCAAGCTGCAATGGAGGGAGGAGGAAAACAAAGTCCTGTAATCAGGTTCTAGAACACAATTCAAGGAAACAATACTACAATCGGAAATGCTACCAGCCGCTACAGGCGGGCTGGTTTGCTGTCTCCATTCATTTACCAAGATGAACCGTATTTCAGAAAATGTGTTCTTTGCATCCCTGACGGGACAGTGCACATTTGCCTTTTTAAATTTCACCCTGGGTGCCCGGGCCGGTTTGGCTAAGCAGTTAGAGAGTCTGCCCATGGAACAGAGAGTCCCAGGTTCGGTTCCCGCTAAGGGCACGTACCTCGGTTGCAATTTGTCCCCGGCCCCGGTTGGGGTTGTGTGGGTGGCAGCCAGTCAATGTGTCTCTCTCACATCAATGTTTCTCTCTCTCTTCCTCCCTCTCTCCTTCCTGCTCTATCTGAAGATAAATGCAAAAATGTCCTCGGGTGAGTATAAAAAAATAACAAAAAATAAATTTCATTCTGGGACAAACCCAATGAAGAGTTTTGGTATTTCCACTCTGGTATCTTATTCATTTGGAAGTGAATGTGTGGCTGTGGCCAGTTTTGTTCAGTGATTAGAGCACTGGTCCTCAGACTGGAGGGTTTCAGGTTCGATTCCCAGTCAAGCGCAGGTACCTGGGTTGCAGGTTCAATTGTAGGCCCTGGTCAAGGTCTTCTGGGAGGCAACTAATTGAGGTTTCTCTCTCACATCAATGTTTCTCTCTTTCTCCCTCCCTCCCTTCCACTCTATCTAAAAATATGCTTGGGTGAGGATTAACAAACACAAAAAGAAAGAAAGAAAGAAATGTGTGAAGTGAGCCATCTAAATACACTTGTTTTTTTATTTCAAAATTTTGCTTCACAAATTCACAGCAGGATGACGTCACGTTCGTTGTCCCTTCTTTCTAAACTCTGGCCTCTTCCGATGACACTCTGACCACTTACCAAGTCATCATTCCTTCTGCCACCTTCCATAAAAATTCACATTTCAAATGGAATTTCAAACCATGCTTAAATAAAACACATAGTTAAGTAAAAGTCTTCCCTCTCCCTACATGTAGAAAGATGATTTATTTACTTCTTATTTTAGCAATAAGGGTTCCTTCCACTGTTCTCCTGAGATCAACATTTATTTTCTTCAAAATAGACCCAGCCCTGACCAGGTGGTTCAGCTGGTTGGAGCGCCATCCAGTACACCAAAAGGTTGCAGGTTTGAGCCCCGGTTGGGGCATGTATCGGAAGCAATCATTGATGTTTCTCTCTCTTTCCTCCTCCCTTCCTCTCTCTCTGAAATCAATGGAAACATATCCTCAGGTGAGAATTAAAAAAGAAAAATTTGGTCCAGTCTCATACTCTCAGTCTGTTTTTCCTAGACAGTGGCCACTAATCTCTCTCTGGTGCTACAGCCCTTCATCCTCCCACAGACAACGGGGACAGAATGAGGTCTGTTTATTTTGCCCTCGCCTTCAACCTAGAAATGTAATGGGGAAAAGAACCCACCCAGAACCAAACCCCGTGACCCTCCACTCGCTCCGGGGTGGGCTGTACTGTCACACGTGCTGGCGCCCTGAGCACAGGAGGCTGCAGGTGGAGGCAGCACCTGCTCTTCCAGCGCTCGGCCACCAGCGGGCAGGTGCGGGGCCGCGTGTGCAGGGTCCGGACGGAGGAGGGATGAGGCCGGTTGTGGCCCCGAGGCCTGAGTGCCGCACTGCAGGCAAACTTTAGACAATCAGAGGAGAAGCCTCCTTGCCTCTCGTCAGGGAGAATGAGACCTGGCTGGGTTCTGAAAAGTCATCTAAAGCAGGGAATCGTTTTCTAAGAAGTGTGCATGTCTACCTTTGTCTGTTTCCATTAAATATAGTTTCATGTGCCAGCCTTGGATCTAATGCCAAAGCTTGTTAGAGTGAAGCCCACGGGCTGGCCCTCAGTGGCCCTCGTCTGCATGGGGCTCCCTGACAGAGGCGTCACCCGGAGCCACACCCACATGTGGGGCCCCCAAGGTCCACATCAATCTCTGAGGAGGGAGGGAGAACCTGCAGATGCCCGCTGAGCACTCTGGGGCACACAGTCTCTCCGTGACCAAGTTCCCCATCGCTGCCGCCTTTAAGTGCTTTACAGCCTTAACAAGAAAGTCATCTTTTAAGTCAGTCACTGTTATCAAAGTTCAATCTTTCAGAGACACTGTCTCCTTCAGAAGCTGTATTTTATTGCTACATAAAATGTCTTTAGTTAAATAAATGGGCTCATGTCATTCAAACTGCCCTGGTTAGGTGAGGGACATATCTCACTGTACTGGTGTGAGCAGGCGTGACCAGGTGCACCCTCCAACCCAGCAGCACCGCCAGCACCGTTCCAGGTGGACAGCGCAGGTTGGTGTGGTTGGAGGCTGGTGGAGGCCAGGTAAGAAGCTCCCACTGCACCAAGCAGAGCTCGAGGGGCCAGGGAAGCATTGCGACATTCCTGCTGGGCCCCAGGACTTCAAGTTTGTCAAGAAAAGACAGGGTGGAAAGGAACTCCAGGCAGAAGGAAAAGAACCTGCAGATGCACAGATGTTATTACTCATGTTATTACTGACAGAGGGGGAGGGGGACTCTAAGATACACCAATAAGCATCACAGCAAACAGAGCTCAAATCTCTCTCAGCCTGCCTGTGGCGATCTGAACAGGCCTTTGCTCTCGGCGCCCTCAGACAGGCCTCCTCCAACCCCAGCCCACCCCAAGGACAGTGGAAGGGCTGTCCCTGGAGAGGAGGAGGCAGGAAGCTAGTTAGGAAGCTGGGGCAGGGGCAGGCTACTTGAAGACCTCAGGTAATTCTAAGGCAGAACCAGGGATAGTAGTGATTGGATAGAAGAGGAAGAAATCAGCCAAACTATTTCACTCATTCCACCCCCACCCACTAGCAACACAGCAAATCTACATGAGACATGTGACTGTCCTGCAGGGGCTCCCACACTCTGCTGCCAGCCCAGGTCCTTCCAACTGTCCACCCCTTTCCTTCCCACCCAGGCTCCTGCACCCCTCTGGGCCCACACCCCTGCTTCCTGGGTGCCTTGTGCCATTTCACCTGCTAACCCTCCGAGCAGTGGGTGACTGTCTGGTTGATGGGTTCCTCCTTCGGCCCAGCTGCTCCTTGGCCCCCTCCTGATCTGATGATCACCCACCCCCACCCCACACGGCAGAGCCGGGCCTTCAGGGTGAAAGCAAAGGGATGTTTCTCCCCCAGATGTGACTGCAGAGCTACCTGCTTTATGATTAACCCCTGAGATGAACACTTCTTATTCTGGGCATTTAACTGCACAGGTGGTACGTGTAAGAATAAAAAGACAGAGAAAAAATATCTAATTAACCAGCCCCCAAAGAAAGGAGGAGAAAACTATGTCCTCACCAGCGCCTGCTGCACACAACTGCTCTGAACACAATTATTTCCTCAGAGAATGCGTGCCTCTGCCTGGTGCTGCGCCCCAGCCCAGGGGACGCCTCTGTGGGTAGCCCCTTGCAGATCACTTCAAGTGTGATGCTGACAGTGTAAGAAATCAGAACCAATGTCCGAACTGCCCCAGCCAGGCCGAGGCAAACCTCAAACACATAACAGGATGAGCTGGGCCTTCACTCGGGATTAGGGTGGGGGCAGCCCCCAGAGCAAACACCTGTCGCTGCACCAGAACACCTTTAATCACCATGAACACCACCTCCTCCCCCCAGGGCTGCTGGACTCTCCTCTCAAGCCCATAAAATTTCCTTCTGCAACTGTCTGTTCACCCGTGGGATAATGGTTCATTTGCTTCCTTCTCTCCTGCCTTCTGGTGTTTTAATGGACAGGTTGTTTAGCTGAACATCATTCGCAACACACTGTAAACATATGGACTCACTTCATGTTATTGAAAGGGGCTGGTGAGACACTCGATAAAATTTAGCATTTGTGGGATCGGAGAGAAAAAGGGCCGCGGGACCTAAGCTTTGCCCGGCGAACCACGGGTGATCTTCCCGAGCTCGGTGGAAATCCCGTGAACTGTCCCCGCGCAGGTGCTGCCGGCGCCCGCGTGGCAGCCGTGGGTGGTCAGCACATGAGCAGGTGTCGCCAGACAGTGGCCACGTGCTGGGTTCTAAGAGCTGAGGCAGGACTAGGAAACAAACAAGCAGGTAACACAGCAGCGCCGTGCGGAAGGCGGCCGCACCCACTGCCCGCCTGGGTCTGCGGCTGGGGCGGTCCGCCCAGTGGGAGTAAAGAGGGGCGAAGTCACGAGCCCCTGAGCCTGGTCTTCGTTCATTTCCTGAGTCCCGACACCGGGCAGCTCACCTACTGTGTGAAGTGAACGAGACCATGACTCCAACTGCACTCGGCAGGCAAGCCATTCAATTCCAGTAACAACACGTAGCTAAGCAGTGCCTGCTCTCTGCTGAGAATCACGCACTGGCCATCTGCGCGTGGAAGCATGGCCCTGGGCAGGCTCCTGAGCCCCCTGAGCCTCAGCGTCCTCACCTGCACGATGACAGTGGCCGTGGGACCTACGTCATGGCTCTCACGCGTTTCTTTAAGACGTAACCCTATTTACCAAAGCAGCACACAGTCAGCTCGGCGACCCTCGCCTTTTCAGAAACGTCCCACACTCTCATTCGCAGTCGGTGCCTCATGTGAAAGTGGTCAGCACCTTTGTGCCACCATAAAGGAAAAGAAGACGCCACCAGCGCCCATTTGGATCAGCACCACAAATGAAGTCACCTCACGGACACCATGCAATGGCTGCTTTAAGAACTGGCAGGACCACGCGCGTCAAGGGCGCAGCACGAGGGCGGCCGAGGCGGCCAAGCACCGGCCAGGCACTGCTCAGTCACCCGGCCCCGCCCCGTGCACGGCCTCACACAGCTCCGCAGCTGGCAGCCAGCACTCGCTGTGAAGAAGGGGCACAGCAGGCCCCGCTGACAGAATGACCAGAGCTCGCCCCTCTTCTGGGGACGGGGGACGCTTTATGTGAACACAAGGAGCAGAGAGTGGAAATGTCCCTCACACAGGTTTGGTGAGGTGCCTCTGGGGTAAGGAAGGAAAACGAGGAGACGAAATCCCAGCCACACAGCTGAGGAATGAGGTGGGCTGGGAGTCTGTGCGCGTGTGCACACATGTGCACGTGTGGGTGTGTGTAAGCATGTGTGTGCACGTGTGTGCACGCACTGGGGAACCCGTGGGCACTCACCTTGGTGGGGATCCTTGCCATGAGGAGGAAGGCTCGGCATGATGTGAGCACCTGTAAGAGAGAAGCAGCCATCAGTGCGGACAGTGGGCCCGCTGGGCTGTTACCCACGGAGCTGATGAGGGGGCATGGGGATCATAAGAAACAGGACCAGTCCCTACCGATGGGCCCGTCTATCTGTGTGTCTGTCTGTCCACCTCTGCCTCTCCCCAGTCACCTGGTGGCCTCCATCTCTCACTGTATCGACCTGCTGCTGTGTCCTCCTCGTTCACCCCCCTTCCCTCCCCTCCCCGCCCTCCCCTCCCTTGGCGGTTGCTGCCTTGGTACCCACCACACCCCACCCTCCCCCATTCGCTCCCCTTTGGGCCCCTCCCTGCCCCCTGCCCTGTTTCCCAGCATCCTCTGTGCTCGCCACTGGAAGGTATGCAGTTCTCTCTGCCGATGAAAGCAGACAGCGATCACAGGAGAACAACTGCCCTCTGGACGGTGTCTCATTCCCCACGTGGGACAGAACTTCAACAAAACGTGAGGTAGAAATGACAGCCGCCTCTGGACACGGTCATAGCATCAACACATCGGTAGTCACGTGACTTCCAGGTCCGCGTGTAGTCTAACCAGTACGTCTTAAAAACTAATCTCAAACGGGCGCCCAATGCACTGGCCCCAGAAGCGAATGCTAGCAGGGGTGCGGCTGGTCCCCCGCCCTCCGGCCAGCCCCCGCAGAGGAGGCGCCACAGGGCCTGCCCATCCTGAACAGGGTGTTCAGTGGGTCAGGAAGCCAGAATGTCCACATGGCTTCACCTTTGGAGTAAAGGGTAGTTTCTTGACCAGGTGCACATGCTAACAGCCCCGTCTGCCCTCCCCAGAGGCCTGTGTGCCAACCCCGTTTCTGTCAAAATATGTCAAAGGCACAATACGCACACAAGGTCCTTCAGAAGCTGCACATGAGCCTGAAGACAGGCGCCTCCACGAAGGTCCCAGCTTTGAGGAAAGAACCCCGATCCTGGAGGTCAGCCAGGGTCCCAGAGCAGGAGGGCTATTCTTAGCAAGTTTGGGGGTGGAGAGGGGAGACCCTCCAGTGCACCCAGTGCTTCACAAGGCTGTGCCCATCCCGAGCATGACTGTGCAGCAGTACTTAGAAGCGAGGGTGAAAAACTGCAAATGTCACCATTCCAAGAACTGGGTCTCTGTCCACCAGTGTCAAGTGAGCCAGTAGCTGGCACGGGACTGCATTCACCCGGGAATCCCAGAGAACCCCATCTCCTAGCTTCCCTGCCTGGCTCCGGACGGCCCTGGGATTGTGGCGGTGTAGGCCTGCCAGCGTGTGACACACACTCATGCATGCTCACACGTATGCGCACTCACTCGCACACGCTGCTTCTAGCAGGCCGGGGCAGCAGCACACAGGAAAACCGCCAAGTTTCCCCCTTTCCAGGGCAGGCTAGTTTCAGCACCAAGAAGCCTGCATCCTAGAAACTGGGCTCTTGGTCAGGCTTTTTGCATGGACATGGGAATTGTGAATGCAGATTCACATCCTGGCTCCGCCCCGTCTAGCTGTTCAACCTAACAGTTACCTTCTCCACACCCAGCGTGCTCACCTAGAAGACAAGGGTGCTCCTCTGCAGGACGCAGGCTCCTGCTGCCAGTGACACAGGTGGAACGGAGCCGGTGCCACGAGGTCTCCGCCGCCCACCAGACCTCACGCCATGATACTGAGTGACCGCGTTCCCAAAGCAGTCACACCAATGGGGTTTTTAGCTAATAGTTTTTGTCAACAGAACAAAACAAACAAAACCCACAAAGATTCCGAGACATCTCCTAGGCTGAAATTTTTGGTTTGATGTGTATTTTTGATCTTGATGGAGAACATTCTTACAAAGTTAACTAATATGGGGCCTGGAGGAGTGTGTGCTCAGCAAGGAGCCCTCTCCCCAAGGGTGGCTGCAGCCCCCACCTCCTGAGGAGCCTGTCCTTCCACGGGCCCCAGCGTGCAGACCGCTCATGAGCCTCGAGATGAATTTCCTCTCCCACTCACTGAAACAGAAGCAGCCGCCTGGTTCTCTCTGAGGCGTCTCAGTTCACCTTGTAACTTCAAAATTTCACCTGGAAACGTTTATAAAATCCTTCTGCTGCTAAGACACAGCCTCACAGAAAACTCTCAATGTCCGTATGAAGATGATACACAACGAGGTCGGCTCTGGAATCCTCTCCTGCACCCTTACTACAACCTGAGATGACACCTGTTTCACCTTACGTCACTCACTGCCCGAAGCCTCCTGCGCTCAGCCCACATTCATGCCGCTGAACCACACGCTCTCGCAGATCACCTCCCTCTCACCCGGGCTCTCCACACAAACCTTCAGAAACAGTCTCACACCCCGAGAGTGCAAGCAACCTAAAGACGAATGCAGTTTCATACTGTCCCCTCTTCCAAACGCCAGCTCCAAGCACACCACGGACGAGACCTCCTTCATCCACGGCACAGGTGAGGACGGAGAGGTGGGAGCAGGACGGTTATCACCGCTGTGAGTGACAGATACCGAAGGTCTGTGCAAAGTCACGCCGACAGCCGAGAGAGATAAAAGGTGTCCTGGCTCCGAGCCTCAGAACACCACTCTACACCAAGCATGACGACCGTCACCTCTCCGGGTTCACCGGAAGGAATGCAAAACACGGCATCATTTCTAGTGCAATTTCTGGCCCTAAACTCCTTATGAAATTGGATCACCATACTCCTCGAGCATCTGTGACACGTATCGGGGTGCCAGCCTGGGGGCCCACCAGCCCCCACCTATTTCTATAAATACACTTTTCCTGGGACATGGCCATGCCGTCAGTTAATGGACCATCTCTGGAAGCTTTCATGCTACAAGGCAGAGTTGAGTCGATGCAGCAGAGATTTTAATGACTCACAAAGCCCAAAATATTTACCATCTGCTCCTTTCCAGAAAATGTTTGCCACCCCTGACCCGTAGCTTAGAAGACAAAGTGGCGTCAGGTCGCCTGTGTTCCATCCAGTGTCACTATTTCCTGTCGGTGTGACTGGACCTAGTCTTCACCGTGCTGGTGGTTCGGTCCCTGTTTTGCAAGATGGGAGCAGAATATACCTGCACCTCGAGGAACGTGAGGTTCCTACGTTGGCAGGTGAGTTCAGAAGAGCCAGCAGGGGGAAGTGCCAGCTGGGCTGTGGGTGGCTCCACTGACTCAGTCGAGTTTAAAAATTGTAACAAACAGACCAGATGGAGAGTGAGGAAAATCCAAGACTGCAAGTGGGAACCATAAGCAGGGTGTCATGAAACTTCCGTTCAGAGATGGCAGTGTGCACACAGTACGCATGCATGCACATGCGTGTGTATGTGTGCGTGTATTCATTTGTGTGGGGGGGGTGGCTCCTAAAATCAATATCAAATATATTTCTTCTCTGGGTCCAGGTCTGAAAGTTCAATAACCACTGGCTGTGGGCACCATGGGCACCTGTGAGCGTGACCCCTCGGAGGCGGGGGCAGTCACACCGACCTCAGAGACACCCAGCTTCACCCGTCAGCTGTGCGGTAATGGCCAGGCTGCTTCTGATCTCCAGCCCATGAGTCGCACACAGTGTGTATCCCATGTGAGAAGTGGGGGGAACCCGTAGCAGACATTACTGATAAAGACCTGTAGAGACTGGGGTGGGGGGAGACCAGCCCAGGCACCCTGTCTCCTGGCTCAGCTGTGCCCAACACCCCATCTCCGGGGGCATCGTGTGTGCAGGGGAGACCATTTCCGTGGCAACTACAGCTATGAGGGTTAGGAGAGAATTCCACTTCCAGGTGATGATGTAGAGGACCCTGGGAGAGAAGGAGAAGGGACTTGGACTCACACACATTTGAATCCACTTGCCGACTCCCCCTCTTTCAGTCAGGTGACACGTCTGACGCGTGTTCTCCTTACCTATAAACCAGGTACATACAATGTCTGCCGGACGTGGCGAGGGTGAAAAGGGACACTGTGTAAATAAGGGAGCATGTCACAGACCTCACAGGGCTGCTGTGAGGACTGAACACATCCCATACACAAGGTGCTGAGACGGGGGCCGCCAACGGTGTCGGCATCGCTGTCCTGGTCAGGAGGCCTCCCCATTCTGGACCTTCTGGCCCAGGTCACACCGAGTGTCTTTAAGTGTCTTACTACACTTAAAACACCACCACCTCTGGGCTATCTAGTTCAGACAGTCCACTCCCTGGGTTTCTATTACTTTTTTTCCCCACAATCTCTCTTGAAATTGAGTAAAAAAGATATGTACAAAATAGATTTGTAAAATCTTAAAGTGTGCATTCTTCTTTTTTCTTATGCCCTGCAGTTACCATCCAATTATTATTCTGTTTCTGCATCTATTGTTTGAAAAGAAACAGTAGCTGGCTTGATCATGACCATTTTTAAACACATCTCCCTGGTTTCTGCAGGCAACTCAAGTGTCTCCCAGGCCACTGTCCAGATGTCCAAAAGCAGCTCTCCCTCCCAGGCAAGCATTCGGTGCTAACACTGTAAATGTCACATAAAACTCAGGAGAAACAGAAGAGTTGAACTAGCCTCCTGCTCAACGTGCAAATCACTTCATTCCTGCCAAGACCCCAGGGAACCAAAGGGCTGCTGTTAATGTCCCCATTTCTCAGCTGAGGAAATCAAGGCAGAGAGATGAACAATGGTCCGTTTGACAGACTGAACTCACAGTTTAGTTGAAAAAGAAGAGAGGAGCCTGGCTGATTTGGCTCAGCGGTCAGAGCCTCAGCCTGAGGACTGAAGGGTCTCAGTTCAATTTCCGGTCAAGGGCACGTACCTGGATTGCAGGTTCGATCCTCGGCCCCAGATGGGGTTGTGCAGAAGGTAACCAATCTCTCTCTCTCTCTCTCTCTCTCTCCCCCCCCCCTTCCTCCTTCCCTTCCACACTCTAAAAATCAATGAAAAAAATATCCTTGGGTTATGATTAACAAAAAAAAAAAAAGAAGAGCAGGAATTAGGAAGATATAAACACGGAAATAACTTGAAAATAAAACACTACATGCAAACCCTTAGTC